GTGTTCCTCTTTGGTTTTAGACATAATTAAGATGTCATCCAAATAGATCATGACCTTCTCCATGGCAATAAGATCTTTGAAGATGTTATTTATCATCCACTAAAAGGTGGCTGGCAAGTTGGTGAGTCCAAAAAACATGACTATCAGCTCAAACAATCCATGGTTGGTTCAAAAAGCGGCCTTCCACTCATCACCTTCTTTGATGCATATATTGTTGTATCCCCATTGGATGTCTAACTTAGTGTAATATTTGGTGCCACAGAGCTTGTCTATCAATTCTGAGATCAATGGAAGCAGATAATGATTTTTGATCATTATCTCATTGAGCTTCCAGTAATCCTATACTGGTTGGAGTTTTCCATCCTTCTTTTTAATGAAAAAGAAGGGCAAAGCCATTAGAGACTTTGATGGCCAGATCCTTTCACTAAATAAGTTCTCATCAAGAAACTTATTCAGTTTTTGCTGTTTGTTGTTGTCAAGTGGATAAGTCTTGCAGTTCAGATTGGCATTGGCATTAGGAATTAGTTTAATGATATGATCCCAAGGCTTTAGGTAAGGTAATTCATTGAAACTTTTCTTTTCAAATAAGTTTTGGTAGTCCCATGCCCACTCAGGCATCATTTCTTTGAATGTCTTTTTCTCTTTCTTGGCATCAGCCTTGGCTGCTAAGTTATTCATGTGGTGAATGGTGTGAACATGAATGGCCTTCTATAAGTCAATAGCAAGAATCATTTTGCCATCTTCTATTTCTTTGTCCCATTGATCTTTGAGATCTTCATCAGATAATTTAAATGGAATCTTCCAGCAGCAGCATCTAGTGAAAATAATGCATCTGGTCTTCCAATTGATTAAGAGGTTATATTGGATTAATTAATCATAGTCAAGGAATACTTTCTTGGTTTCTAGATCAGTTACTGCCAAATCAATTCATTTGGAATGATCTCCAATAGTGAGCCTAAGCTCAACATACTTGGTAATAGAACCAGCTTGGTTTTTTGTCTTATCCACATTGTAAACTGGAATGAGTGCTGCTGTAGCTCAGATTGAGAGTTTGTGCTTGGTGACAAAAGCACAATTTATTGAGCTACTGATACACCCACTGTTGATTAGTGCAGTGACCACATGAGTTTTTTAAAATGTCAGTGTCTCGATCTGGGCCTTGGCCAAAAGGTTCTGGCCTGATACCTTGGATCATCAGATGAACATCTTGGATCCTTGGAGTTCATCAAGCCATTTGAGAGCTCAGCATTATTTGGCCTTTTGAAGCCCTTCAATGGCTTTGTCAACCACTTCTTTGATTTGGGTCTTGTGAACCCAGTTTCTGAGCACAGCTTTCACCGTTGCTTCATCCTTCACATCCTTGATGGCTCACCAAGTCCATTCAGTGTTGAATAGCTTTAGCTAACCACTAGAGCTCTCTGCCCTTTTTTGGTCTGCTGGTGTTTGAGTTAGTTCCATAAGGTGATTTCAATATTGGAGTGGTAGTGTCAGGTATATTTGAATGCACACATAATTTAGACATAGGTGATCCTACAGAAAAATAATCAGTCCATCCAGTGGTAATTTGTGACACTCCACTTGATTTACTGGCTGAGTCAGCAGAATCACTCACTGCTCAGCCTCATCTTTTATCTCCTTGGCCTTCATCTCTGGTCCAAAGTCTTGTTCCTCCTTCTGTAATTCTGCAATCAGCACTCTGAGGTCTTCTTAGATGCACTTGTTCTTTTTCTAGAGGCAGTTTCATGCCATGTGGCCCTTTTGGCCACAATTAAAACACTTCCCCTTCTTCTTGAGGTGATTCATATCTATTGGCTGGTCTGTTCTGATATATGTTGTGCTCATTGAAGAGGATCTGAGCATGTGCAAGGTGAAAACAGATATAGCAGAGCATTATCCACTGACTGCACTCACACCAACACACACATAAAACTCTTAGTTTATGGGGGGATTATAATGCGATAAAAGTAGTATTCAACAAATATAATTGTCTTCTTCAATGAGATCACAGCATGTGAATAGTAATAGCATGCTTATAACAGTCCAAGGCCTTTCTAAGTCTCAAAGCTTTTTGTTTTATCAAAACAAGAGGTGGCAACTGGTGTTGCTGGGCCTCAAGGCAAAGGGTACTGCAGTTCAATACAATACATTGAAACACTCTCACAAAACTCTCCAAATAGTCTCAAGCACAGCTCAGATCACCTCAAAATCTCTAACACACACAATACATAACTCATAGCTTTATGCTCTAAGCAAAAACCAATTACAAACATGTCCACAAGTGCCAAAGAGCATAGATCTCTGTTCACAAGCTTCCAAACTGATCATAGACCCACAAGATTCAAACCTGTGTGATCCAGAGACACAAAACACAATAAAACCCCATCCAACAGACCAAAGAGTTTGAATCTCTGCCAATCTACAGAAATAACACAAAAGTGCACACTAATCAAGCCAAAGGGTCTGAACCTCTGCTACCTGAAGCACTGCATATCACAAATACTTCAAAAACTCAAGATGATACCCTTCAGACACTGCTCTCTTATTCTCAGGTTAGAGCACAATCCAAAATCTCTTATCAAACTGGGCTTAAATCCTTCATGAGCTTCAATGTCTTGCTTAGTTCTCATAGCTCTCTCAAGGATATTCAATAATAAGTTTATTCTCTCACCCAAAGTTACAAACACAAGCCTAGAGCTAGAGTGCAAGACTTTCTGTGCCCAATACACCACAACTGTGGGGGTCAGAAACTTCCATTCTACTTATACAATACTGTATTTAAATACTCTACTGTGGTACTTACTAATATAATCCTACTATGGTCTCTTCAAAGTGCAGGACTCTATGCCAGATCCCATGGGTATTATTTGCATGTATATCACAGTCACCATGCTTATTCTCTTCTGGGCAAGGACTGTGCTCACTGTTCCTTTGCTAGCTGACATTGGCTAGCAGGCCTTACCAGGTCTGCTCACTTTCTTATTTCCCCAGTGATATCTCTGACAGCAGTAAACTGTTCTAGACCCCTGGAGTTATCTCTCATGCCAGGAGCCAGCCACAATAGCTATATTCTGCTTCTCTGTGTCTAATCAGTCATTCTATCTGACTCACCAAAGGTGCCATTTCTCAGTATAATGTGGAGTCCCTTGCTGTGTTATGCATGCTAAGGTACTATAAGTATGTGTGCAAAACTCAGAGTGGTATGTGCACTATTCATTCCTGAAGTAATATTCCTCTACTTATTACTTTGTTATCATCATTCTATTTCTCCATTCAATACCTATTTATTCAGATATCTTTCTTTGGTTCTCAGTTCTCAGTTCTAAAGCATGTTCCATCAGTGCATCAATGGCTGTGCATCTTTAATCAATGTGATCAGAATTGCTGATCATATTTTGATGGTAGTCTTTTTATTTTTAGCATATTCTTTCATAATAGTATTGGCACATTTAGAGCCAAGTGCTGGGACCTCACATGCAGCCTAACCCCTCTAGTATTAGTCTGTTACTAGGCCATGCATTCTGCTTATTGTTACTTCAGTTTAGCATTATGATAGCTAGGTTTCTGTGCACTCTAGTCCTATTTTCTGTTATATGCTTACTGGACTGGAATGCAGTCCATGTATTCACAATTTTCATAATTTTACATGCCTGAACATGGAGAGGGCATGTCACCATACCAGTTTTCCTCTCACTGTATGAGGAGGTTGGAGCTGAGCCATCAGACTCAATGAGTGTGATCATGTTGAAGGTGGAGGGCTTCATGCTCTGTCTCTGGTTCTTCTGTCCTCCCCATAATAGAATGAACAATTCTGCCTTCTGCCATTGTTGCTTCTGGTATATCATGATGATGCATGCCTTCCACTTATCATATCCTATTGGGATACTATGTCTGATATCTGAGATGATCTTGAGATAGGAGGACAGAGCTCCCATCTTTATATACTTGACCATTCTTCCAGTATTGGCTATATCATTCCAGACTTCTGCCAGCTTGCCAAGTCTCTCCAATTTGTCAAAGTAGTCAGTTGCCAGCTTGTCACCCATTTTGAAGTCCTTTATCTTCTGCTTATGGACTTTTTGAATAGCTGAATCCATGAATTTGTTATTGATCATTTGTTTGAAGACTGGCCATAAGAGGTATTAGTGATGTTGGCATATGGTTGATCAGAACATGGGGAAGATAGGGATCTACCATGTTTTTGCCTTGTCTGCCATATGAGTCACAGCAAATATGACCTTGTATATGTCAAAGAGGAAGTATGAGGCAAATACTTGGAAGTACTGGTTGCAGTCAATAAGAAAGTAGTTGATATTGTCCAATACCTCTTTGAAGAAATAGAGCTCACTTATAAGATTTGGTTTCATGTTAAGAATCTAGGCACTAGCTACAAGAGCAGGCATAGAGTTTGAGACATCACTGGATGGTTCTGATCATCCTGCAAGAGCTCCTGAGAATGAATGGAGAGAGCCATCATCAGCAATAGGACTTTCCAGTAGTAGTGCTTCTTTTTGCATGATCTGCCCATCCTTGATGGTTCAGCCTTGGGCAGTGGCCTCAGAGTCATCAGCCTTGGGAGCCTTTGGTGCTGCTCCACTGCCTTTGGCTTTATCTGGCAGAGGTTGTCTAGCAAATGGTTGCTGAATCAGCAGTCTTCATGGATTGGGATAGTGGCTGCTTGCCTGGGATCAGCTTTGAGAAAGCCAAGATGCTGTGCTGTGGACAGCTGAGATGGTGAATGAGTATCAAGATGATGCTGTTCAGATTGAAGGTGCTAAGTTTATCAGCTTACTCAGCACTGGACTCAGTGTCTATGGTCTTGGTGTTATGCTATACTTCAGCTGATAGAGTGGCAATGCCATCATCTGATATCCTAAATATCATTTATTATGAATAAAAATAGCCTGCTTGGTGGCTGCATATTGTAAAATTTTTGCATGCTCAACTTTGTCAGCAGTAGTATACCTTTATCCCATGAGTGACATCAATCAGATATCATCCATCTATAATCTAGCTGTACCATCCTGATACAGCTTCAGAAAGTCCTTCTGGCATGCCTCCCATGCCAGTCTCTTTGACTCTTCCTCATGAATATATATGTTCCATGTACTTTCCCACTCAGTTAGAGAATTCTCAACTTCCTTATTGAGACCCTCTTCCCCTTCATCATCCATGCCCTCATTGATAGTCTCACTCTTGTCCTCCTCAAGGAGGAAACTGTTGTGTGGGTCATAAATCTCCAGGATGACTATGCTGAGGCTGGATGCTTGGTCTGGTGTCACTGGATCCAGATTGAGGAGTAGGCTGCTGCTTGGGCTGCCATTGCTGCTGCTCAACTGCCTCTCATACCACTGCTGCTGCTGCCATTGCTTTGCAATATTGGCAGAAGTTTTGGTATAGCCTTGGTTAGAGAAAGAGAGTAGCAAAGTTCCTATCAAGAAACCTTCTAATGTCACCCATAGGGTTGATATGCTCTTCATCTCCCCTGATCATTTCTTGGTCTGCTAGTATTCTATCTCCCCTGATAGAGATATTGTCAGTCTCAGTGATGGTATCGGTCTCATAGGATAATGGGCAGTCATCATCAAGGTCAAGTGACACCCTTTGATGGATGTCATCTGCATGAATGACTCTCTCAGCTGATCCTGCTCAGGGGTCAGACTCAGTGACAGGAGTGCTAGATTCCTGAAATAGAGTGTCAGGTATGCTGTTAGTGGTGGTGCCAATGAGCATACTGATTCTGAGGCTCCTAGAGCTTCTCCTCCAATCTGCTGCATCCTGTGCTCAGAGATACCACCCAAAGAGGGTGTTCTCCCTTGCAGCCTTGTACTTGATGCATATCTGCTCCTGAATGTACTTGGAAAGGTTTCTGGCACATTGAACTTTGTCCTCTTAGAGGAGGACCAGTTGATAGTGTCAGTTTGTTGTGGTAATCATGGTGTCATTCATGCACTGCCTGTTTGACTTGTTGCATGGCTAGCTGCATGCCACTCCAATCTGTCTGCTTCTTAGGCAGCAGTGTGCCAGTACTGGCACTCACTGCTGTCATTGTCATTGAAATAGGGGTCACTGCTGACATCTGTCCTATTGTTAGTATTCTTGCTTTGTGCTGACATAGCACATTGGGACTCATGGACTCTGATATTATTGGTCTCTCAAGCCACCTGAATGGCATCAAGAGAGTCTCTAGTATAGCATCCAATACTAGTGCTAGGGATGGGAGTTGTGGTTCTTGTTGCAATGCTGTGGTGGCTATGCTCAGAGGATGGGATAGGGGTGTCAGGTCTGGATCATCAAAACCCTGTAGCCCAAGAGTTTTCAGAGTCTTGGATGACTGCCATTAGGGGTCACATAGAGTACTGGTGCTGCTGCTCTTCTTCTTCCTTAGTACTCTCTTCAGCTGGACTCCCAGAGTCAGCTTTGAGTACAGATCCCTCCTCAGGCTGGAAGGACTGTGAGGCAGTGGCAGAGATATCATGGAGGTGGAGGTCTGGTGTGATATTGCATAGAATAGTTCTGATGTATTGGAATTTCTGATAATGATGAATAGCCCAGATGGTTATTGATTGACATCCATGGCACAGCTGTATGATCACCAATAAGCCTATCAGTGTTTTAATGATGGAAGCAAGGAGTTTAAAGAACTTGTGGATGAAGTTTGGTCTGAAGAGTTAAGAGCAGGGGGCATTCAGTTTCTCAGCACAATTGGGCTTGAGAAAGAGAAGATAAAAGCTTCAAGCTAATTGTTAAGCCCAAATTCCATGTGACTATTAATATATGATAAACCAACACAATCTCACACTTTGGGTTAGAATGTCAGAGTCCACTTGATGTGATAATAGAGTTGTGTTGTCAAGGCATTGCAAGTTGCTTGAGATAAGATGGTGAAAGAATAAACTTTAGCTCAAAGCTGGAGTTACTATAGTGAGAGCTACACTACTTAAATACTAATTCCTTATCATTCTAAGAATATAACTACCTAATTGTTTATCCTGGTGCTGTATAGCATTTTGTCCAGTGTTGCTAAGATACTTACAAAAGAGTATTGTCTGCTGTTGAGCTGTTACTGCTGTTACTGCTGCAGAATGACAAAAGAGATGCACTGCTATTAAACAGCAGTGATAACAACAGCACTGTAGAACCTGGGTTGGGATGCTGACTAATCCTCCCACAGTCCTAAGCGCCAGTCTAGGTGCTCTGACTAAGCAGAAATAGGAGTCAATCCTGAATAAATCAAGGAAAAGGAAAAGAAAATGAGGAAAAATCATAACAAAAAGTGATCAACTATGATGATGATGGCATCATAGCCTTGGCATTCTGGCAGCCCAGTGACCATGTCCACAGATATGTGTGTTTATAGAGTGCTCAGAACTTCATTTGGATGTAACAGAGCTGCCTCTGCTTGCATGCTCAATTTCATATGCTGGCAGGTTTTGCAGACCTTCATGTACTTCTTCATGTCTCCCTTCAGTTTTGGCCACTAGTAGTCCTATAATACTGGCTCCATAGTTTTCATGATTCTGAAATATCCCACTATGATATAATCATGAGATTGGATGATGATTTCCCCTTAAAGAGCATGGTCTCAGGTATATAGATCCAACTATTACAGTAGATCAAATCTCTTTCTCTTGTCATTTCTCAGTTGTGATTGATAGAAGGGGCCATCTTCTGGTCCCACAGCTTAGTATATTGGGTAGTGCTGACATGCCTGCTGCATGTCCAGACATGTAATTTTGTGAATTATGACAATACATTGACTGTATTACAGTCTACTATGTGTGTAATAAAGAATATGGCTAGAGCACAGTAAAATGAGACTTGTATGACAGCTGGCCTGAGTGATAGGTAAAGAGCATGGTCTAGCAGTAAGATGATACCAGAGAGGGTCATACTGCACATGAGGTCCCAGCACTTAATACTAATTGCACTAATACAAGTATAGAAAGACCCACTAAAAATAAAGAGCACACAATCAAAATACAATCAGAGCTTTGGATGTGACTTTGCATCATATTGATCAATGATGCATAGGTATTAAATTGCTGAAAGACATGTTCTAGAATAGAGCATTAGTGCACAATGAGATAAACCCAAATACTAGAGAGATTGGCCAAGAAATGAGAAGATTTGGTGAAATAAATAACTGAAAATGATCCCAGGAGTCTAAAATGACTCCTGTGGATGGATTAATTTCTCTAGGGAGATAAGAAAGTGAAGAGACCAGTGGCCAGACCACTAACAGAGATAACCAGTATCAGGTTGCACAGAAACAAAAGACAGGCCTAACCCAGAGCAGAATATGCATGTCAGACAGCAATATGTGTACAAATGATATGCCAGAGACTCTAAAACAGAGTCTTATACTTTGAAACTACTATATTTGGTGTGTCTTAGTAAGTACAATAGTAGACTATTTAAGTATTGCATTGTAAGAGTAGAAAACAAGTTTCTGACCTCCCACAGTTGCAGTGTATTGGGCATGAAGGCCTTGCACTTCAGCTCTGAGTTTGTGTTTGTAACTTCAGATGAGAGAATAAACCCATTATTGATATCATTGAGAGAGATTTGAAAACTGCACAAGGCACAAAAGCTTGCAAGGGACTTGAATTTTATTTGATAAGAGGTTTTGAATTGTGCTCTAGCCTGAAAATAAGAGAGCAGTGTTTGAAGGGCACTATCTTGAGTTTTTGAGGTATTTGTGATGCATGACACTACAGGTGACAGAGGTTCAAACCCTTTGGATCTGTGAACAGGGTTTTATTGTGCTTTTGTGTCTCTGGATCATATAGGTTTGGAAACTCATGCATGGAGGTTTTAACCCTTTGGCACTTGTGGACATGTTTATGAAGTGTTTCTGCTTAGAGCATGAAGCTTTGAGTCATATAGTGTGTGTTTAGAGATTTGAAATTGATCTGAGCTGTGCTTGGAACCTTTCTGAGAGTTTTATGAGAGTGTTTTGACATATTGTATTGAGCTACAGTACCCTTTGCCTTGAGGCCTGACAACATTCATTGCCACCTCTTGTTTTGATAAAACAAAAAGCTTTGAGATTTAGAGAGATCTGAGACAGTTATACATGCACTATTGCTATTCACATGCAGTGGAATCATTTGAGAAGACAATTTTATTTGCTATAGCTACTCTATCACATTATAATCTCCCCAATGAACTAAGAAGTGTTGTGTATGTGTTGGTGTGGTTGTGATCAGTGGGTGGCACTCTGCTGTATCCATTTTCACCTTGCACACATGCAAAACCTCTTCACCAGAATACATGAAAGCACATCTAGATCTGGCATATCTCTTTTGCTGGTGAAAGCTCCTGGCCAATGAAGAGCTACTCATTCACCACCCTCTGCCAATCCTGACTCTCAGCACTCTCCCTGATGCACACAAGCATGTGGAAGGATGTCTCACCTACACCCTTTCTGATCGTTTCGATGATGTATTGGTGCATGTTGATTATGTTGAGAATGGTGGGGATTCTGGATTGCCTGCTAGAGAACTTCTCCTTGAATGATATAAGAAGTACTCCATTGTCGAGGCTTGATAGGTGTTGCCAATTCACTGAGCGTCAAGGGTGCTTGGTGTATGTATGAACCACTGGTATCTTTGTTTGGATCATGGCAATAACAGATATTGTGAGGATGAGGTGAATAAGTGTAGGATATGGTGCGAGGTCAAGGCACGATCACTAATTTTGGGATATAGACTGTTCGTCATCGAGTATTCATTGACAGTCTCCTGAAAAAAAACAATCGGTGGATTATCGAGAGTCATTCCAAAGCGATTCATCAGAATACGGCCAAATGATCGATGCTCGTCGTTCTGAAGGCCATCCTCCCACTGGTCATCACAGGAGTCGACCACTCGCCCGAGGAAGATAGATCTCGTCGAACCAAAATCCCTCTAACAATACCACTTGGATAATCATTGGCGGCCAATACCCGATGCCTGATGTCGACGTTTGAAGTAAGAAGTTACGTGTAAACCAGTGACATCATGATACGCTGGAAGGAGCTTTGCAAGATGGGTTTCTCTCCAATGAGGAAGAAAGACAACACCGCACAAAAGGCATCTAGCCCAACCACCATTAAACAGATAGCCATCCATCCTTCGCCGATGTTATCATACATCTGGGAAGTAGGCAAGTCAGAAAACATCTTACCTATGATGATATATATTCTCACCTGACCGCTGACAGCAGGTCCAACCAGATAAGGAATGAGCCAACAAGATTCAGCGGGATAGCCGAATAAACAAACCTGTTGCTCCAATCCAAAATGCCAGATATCAAGTCCCGGAGATATGAGCATCTTGATCGACGAGATTCAGTACAAAGGCAAAGTACCCTATGGACTACTTACAGCCAACGCCATCAATACTTAGTGAGACGGATGCGAATTCAGCCGATATTGGGGAGAAGACTCCAGAACCGAAGAACTCTAGGAAATAACCCCTTAGTAGGACCTATGATGGACCTTTTTACCACCTACATGTACAAAAGTACACGGTACTGAGCAGGCCAGTATGATAGCAAAGACGATAGGCCCACGAAAACCGAAATGGAGGTATAGCAGCCCACCTATTGGAGTTCCAAGAAGCAGACTAACAAGACTCGGTGGTTTGTCTGAAAGGAAGAAAGGGGACATGCGAACCCAATGTTGGCACCGGCCAGGATGATGCCAAGTTGTGCTGGAGAGACAATAAGAACTGAGCAAGAGGGTGGCATAGAGGACCTACTGCCAATGACTTTGGAAGGGCTTCTATCGCACCTACAAATCCAGATATAAGCGAGGGCGTTATAGCTAAGGACTGACTTGCACAAGCGCCGGACCGACAACCATCCTTGCCTCCCGCGCCCTGAAGACACTGCGCAAGACACGTAAGCCAGTAAGAAGGAGCCTCCATGAACATGATTTGGGAAGCGATGAGTATTAACACTCCGGCGACATAAGGGGCCTTTCGCGCATTGTAGCCTTCAGACCATACAGCAATAGGAATAGCCACTGTAGCGAGTTGAATGATATGCAGTATTTCACAAAAACAAAGAGCATGCTTATAATATTTCCTCCACGCTAGAAGCAAATAAGAGTCGGACTCAACGAAAGACAAGCAGGGTCATACGAATGCAAAAGAAAGTCATCCCGTCAGAGAAGCCACGTTTTCATATCCGAGAGCCTTCAGATGAGAAGGAACAACGGGCGTATACAAAGCAATAGTGAGGTAGTCTACGAGAGCACCTGTTTTGAAACCAAATGTGAGCTCACTTTCAGAAATAGAGTACAAGCCGTACCTAATCACACCACAAACGTCACGAACCAGCACGACGACCTCCATTTCCAGCCACAATGATATTGCACTTGTCCGTGGTAGGTGCAGGGAATCAGGGTATTTAAAGTATAAAGTCTAGGGTCTTCAGGCGAACTTTATAATCTCTGTCTAAGTAGATAGCGCCAAATGAATGACAGTCCCGGACACTATGTACACAGAAACGAAGGAAGTATATGAAACATGAGTAGAACCTTGTACAATTGAATGTGAATTTCTCTCTCTTAGAAGAATGAGTACATACGCACCTTTGAGCTGTACATGCGCCTTCCCAACTTCTCTTTGAGCTTATTGCTACCTTTTTGCAGTTCCTTATCGCATTGGCACATGTGCTTGTATCGCAGTACCACGGTTAAGAAGGTGGTTAAGCTCATCCGACGTTGGACGGGCTCGTCTACAGAAATGTGCACCGACGTAGGCAACTGAGAATAAGAATATCTGTAGAGCTTGGTCCTTCTTCTTCTTCTCCTTTCTGGAAGTTGGATCTGACTGGGTGCTTCGATAACGCGTATGATGATAATGAGCGGCTCATATATATTCGCAGAACAAACCGAATGTCGGGGCCGGCCTGAATGTCGTGGTAGAAGAAACTTTTGCGGAGCTTGCCGTAGGAGCCACGGACCGGAATTCCGAGATGATTTTTTTCCCGTGACTACAATGCGTTGAGTTGAATAGCTTCTACACTGACAGTACTTGGCAGTGAGTACGTATTGTTTTCGAAATTATGAATCTGGAGACTTACCCTTGCTCTAGCTATGCTGGATTACCGACTGTGTTCAGGCTGGCGGATACTGGCCCCCAAACGAAATTTCTGTTCCACCCGCCGAATTTTAGATAAAGAGCACTTGCACTTTCAAGACCTCAAAATTGTGACACCTGAATTGGTTACCGCTATCCGAATTACAAAAAAGCCAGATATACCTATAGCCCTCATACCACAACATCTACAACGCCTAAAACACCTCGAGCGGATTCAATTCATTGACAGATCGATGAAAGATATCGACCGTCAACAAGCTTTATTCCACGCCTTATCCACACTACCCCTCAAGGGTCTTCACCTCAAATCGACACTGTTTCGTAACCAGCAACAGCTTTATGACTTCATACGTCGTTTTCCTACGTTGGTGGAGGTGTCCTGCTCAGACATACGCTACGCGGGAAGGATACCCGGGCAGTATACCGGGCCACTCCCCTTACTGCCGCACCTTCGGAGGGTTAATATGGATGGCGGTCTGTGGTTAGCAGCTCTGAATGGAACATTTGGGTCAATCAACAAACTGCAGAAAGTCACCGCGTTGGATGTGCACTTTGACGATATTCCCAAAGTTAGCCAATTTCTGCAGAAAACTGTGAAGAACCTTTCCGAGTTTAATATACGGCATTTGCATAAGATTGAAGGCAGTAAGTATTGATGTCCTTCAACTTCATATTCCTGTCTCATCGTGATTTCAGAGGTGTCGAGGGCCTGGGCAAGCTGGAGGCCTGAACCTTTTGTCCTCTCACACTTGAAGACATTGGGTATTGATATTCATGGACGGGAGAGGGTTACGGGTCTCCATGTTCGCGCTATGACCAATCTCTTAGGATGGTGGATGCAGTCGCTGGAAAAGATTGTCAAGGAGAACACAGTGTCACCTCTCGAACGTTTAACAATCATCTTGGGATTGTATAGGACTGACTACATCTTGAAGCATTCTGACGAGATGTGGGCGACACTCGATCGTCTTCTCACCCAGGATCAGTTCCCCGAGTTCAGATCTCTCCGCGTTATCATCAAGGCTTATCAGCCTGTCTCGGTACAGGGCGCTATGCAACGGACGAGGATGATAGTCAAGCAATGTCCGCGTTTGGGTGGCAGGTTGACGGTTTCTGTGGTGGAAGGGAATGTCATATCCGGTAAAGCACACTTCTACAACATTGAGGGGTAATCGATGGCTTCACCCGCTGGTGCTGAGGGTACTTATGTGTGGTTTTTCGCGGACCACCATTTCAAGTTCTTCTCATGTGTTGCTTTGCTACAGAAACTTGCCACCTCTGGTACACTCCATATTGGGGCTACAATTGTGAATAGTTCCTTGCGCTACGGCCCGCACAGTAAATGATATCTCTTCCGGTAGCCCTGTTAGTCTTCAGACTTCGTCCTCCATCTCATCGTGAGCCTCCTACAGCCTTACAGATCGCTATCCAAGCTGGACGGACAAAATGGTACACAGCACACTTATCGTAGTACAGAATAGAATATGGTCGATATTATACAATTTGTTGAAGTCCAATCGCATTGAGCCCTCGCTGATGCCATCACCTTTATACGACCCTGAAATTTTCTCACAGCCTTATTACATGTCAGTCATGTCAGACGAAGATGCTTCAGTCGTCTCCGTCGATACACCAGGAAAACATGACATGACAGATAACCTATCTGTCAGACCTCAGCTTACACGTTTTTACCCGCTGTCCTCTGAAAAAGGATCAAAGCACTCGCTACATGCCGCACAAGAGGAATTCATTCTCCAAACTAGAGACAACGATGCTGGAGCAGAGCCTGTCCAGAGTCCGGATTTCGTGAAGAAAGCCAAGAAAAAGGGCTTCGGCATGGGGCGCTCCCGAGAACAAAGGTCGAAGAGAGGTGCGTTTGACGTCCTCGGTGACAGTGGAGCATAGCTACTAATGAAACTATAAGCCGCGTTTGACTACGAGGATAAATATCCAGAAGATCCCATATACGAAGAAACTGCGCCAACTGCCAGAGTATGGAGAACATACCTCGACGAAAGTCAAAGATTTGATGCCGACAGAGTGAGCGACTGGCGGGACACTGTTGACGTTCTTTTGGTATTCGTGAGTTGATTAACCTTCTTCCTCATACATTCTAATTCATATGCAGCGTTGGAAGGCCGGTCTCTTCTCTGCTGTAGTCAGTGCCTTCGTAGTTCAATTCTCCCAAAATCTTCAACCGAATTACAACCAGATTTCCGCGTATCTGCTTTTTGAACTCGTATCCATTCAACAAGCCATTTCCAATGGAACTACGGTCGATTTCCCACTTTCCTCGGTAAATCCGACTGCGGACTTCACTCCGGCAACATCCGTTGCATGGGTGAATGGGCTATGGTTCACTAGTCTTGCGCTCAGTCTTTCTGCGGCACTCATATCTGTTTTGGTGAAGCAATGGCTCCACCACTATATGATTCTACCATCCGGTACGCCTCGGGAGCGTAGTCATATACGACAGTACCGGTACATGGGTCTACGCAGATGGCAGGTGCCTCTGATCATTGGTCTCCTACCGATGCTTATGCACCTCGCACTGGCGTTCTTCTTTATAGGCCTCGTCGTCTTCCTTGGGCCTATGGACACCATCATCGCTTGGGTCACCGGTGGGATTGGAGCTATCGCATATCTAGTTGTTATTGCCACGAATGTCCTCCCCTTTTGGTTCTCACAGTGCCCTTACCGCACGCCGCTGGCAGATACCCTATACGTGTTGGCGAGCTATTTTTCGCAACATATCTTGCCCAGGCTAAAAGGTTTCTTCGCTGAACCGTTACCCGGAATGCCGTCAAGTCCGAACAGGATACATATCCAGTCGTTGAGCAAGATTGAGATGGACATCGTCAAGTCCGTCTCCAACGCGCTTGACGTGGACGCTCTATACTGGCTATACGATATGTCATCGAATCCCGCAGTGCGAAGCATCGTTATCCAGGCAATCGCAGGGCTTTCCATGGGAGTGTCAGGAATGGCTCGTCAGAAATTTGCCGGTACAGACATCCTTGAGGAGCAGGCAGCACTGCTAAATGACTGTTTATCCCCAGGTCCATTCGGAGACGTCATAGTCCCTGTCTCCGGGAAAGAAGCCAAGTTAGAAAGGCTCTTGCGATTTGAACTACATATCCCCGTCGAGATCTCACATCCAACGCGAATTCCCTACATCAAGCTCCCCGAATTCTCCGCACCTCGCCTTTATGCTGTAGTGGCTACTAGTCACTTTCAGACGAGCATATTCGTACCGTTTGCTCTTCGGCATGCGGGGCTAATACAGTTCATACTCGACTTATTTGATAGAAAGATCGACGTGCAACTTCCTCCTCTTGTCTGGTCACAACTCGTCCAGCGGGCGTGCGACATAAACATTGGAGGCATGGAGCAAAACATGGAATCTTGGATTACATTATCCACCGCTCTACTAGAGACTTCTGCTAAAGATTGGTCAAGTCCTCCGACACACGCGATCTCGCTGCATACACCACATGTCAGCACATTACGTCAGGCCATCATCATGTATCTATACCGAGACGTGGTTGATAATCTTCTTGGTACATATACACGTGCAGGCTGTAATACGTTCGCAAGACAGCGTTCCAATGTCATCCCCCGCATCCAACTCCTTTTGGCTATTATCGAATTTCTTCTGAAGATCGTGTTTCGTCGTGTCCCAGACTCGACGGCAGCCTTGCGATTATTCGTGAGCAACATGACCGAGCTCGAACGATGTGTAGCTAGGTATCCCTCACTGACTGCAGATGAAAGTCAGGGTATCATACTTGGACTTGATCGTATCGTCCAATCCGATTCTAATCTGTTCATTGCCGGAAAACCGAGAGACTCCCAACTTTGGTCTGGGCGCATCTGCATACTAGAGTTATACTGCATGATACTCGGAATGCCGTCTCGACTAAGGACGGGGTTTCTCAACTTCCCCTTGGGTATCCGGAATTCATTGTCTTCGATAACGGTACAAAAAATCATACAAGTCGCTTTTGAAGACGAGTCGTGGTCGTCACTTGGGCTGTCAGTGGACAATAATGGGAATCTCAACCCTACCCATCAGTTATATTTCCATACTTTGTCCCAGATCTTACGCCATTGCTTCAGAAATCAGCTAACAGTGGTGCATGATGCCTTTGAGCAGATTGACTGCATCAGGTTGTCAGTGAACTGCCAATTACATCCAGAATTTGTCAGAGTTGTGGAGGCATACATTCTTGGACTGATGCCCTCTTCACTGGACTACGTACACCGGCCTGATATTCTCCCCATTATATGTACCACTTTGGCATGCAACAATGTGAGCATGGCAAAAGGTCCTAGTAAAGCATTGGCAGAGCTGGCGATGAAGCGACCGGGGGACCCTTCGTGGTATGTATGTCGGAAGAGATTGTTGGAACTGGCTCAGTGTGATACGGATTCGGCCGACTGGTTTAAGAAACAAAAGATCGACGGCGCTTCTCTGTCCGAGGTAAGGAGAAAAATTCGCGATGCCATAGGTATCATTGAGAGACACACAGTAACCGGTCCTGATATGGTGAGAAGCTTCAGTCTTGTATGATAAATCTTACACCGACGACTCGTGCATACTTTCAGGAAGATCCCAAGTTGCCTCGCATTCCTGAATTCGCATTTCACGGTCTCATGAACGGAGAGGTGGAGAGAAACGTCAATTCGCATGGCGTAGAAGACAAAGGGAATTCCGAACTCAAATAGTGGATAGAGTGCGATAGAATTGCCCGTAGCCGGTATGGATTTAATACAGTTGCAATACTGGAAAGCACTGCATAATGGGGAAAAAAAATGCAGGAGTGCGAAAGAGCGGCACTAGAGTTGGTCTGGAGATAGCCTGTAGTATTCGGGACGGAGGCTATCCCACGCAGCTGAAAAACCGGCATGATCAACGATATGAAAGACTGCAGCTTGATTGGTGTATTGACCGCTGGAACGTCCACGATATCTTGGCAAGTACTACGGCCATACCGCAGAACCAGGGCAAGTCCATTATCAGTACGAGAACAGAAGAATAGAATGATACTCACGCTTGTAAATGGAAACCGATGTGGCTGTGATAGCAATGTATGAATTAAGTTGGTATCGTGAACAAGGGAAGGAGCACTGACCAGTGCGAAAACCAAGGCCCAGGATTATCAGTTACAAACCGTATGGTAGTAGTATTGCCCAAGCCAACGACCGTTACATCTCGATGGACCTGAGGGCTAGTCAGTCTCCCGGGAGCGCCTGACAAAAGAATCAATAGATCAACGCCTAGCTATCCGCGCTCTTGACAACGTCAAGGGTATGCTATACATTCTCTTGGTGAGCAAAAAAAAATACCATGATCGTGGACTACTAAGAGTTTACACCGTGTAAATGCATCGGATGCTAGAATCATGTAAGTCCAGAACATTCCTGACAATTAAGAGACCCAACAGCCATCCCTCCCATCAGATTGATCTCCATGGTCCTATTGAGCGGAACACCATATACCGAGCCCTGTGGCAACAAATCTTGCGCTTTCTGCACTCCGCTCAAGATCTGAAGCAGAACCGGGACCGTTGGTGGACGGAATGGGACGTTGTTGATTGAAAATCCGTCGGAAATATCGTTGCACCCCAACGTCAAATTCAGCACTAAATCAGAATGATAGAGATCCCGAATGATCCGGACTCACCATCATCGATGTTATATAGAGTCCTATGTGGGTCATTTATTCCGTCTATACGACGAATGGGCCGCGCAATCCGTCGCAGTATTGTATTGACAAATTCGAGTGGTACCAAAATGTCCCAGCTCGATCCGGTATGGGGAAGTCATATAAGAATGAGCTTCCCGTAGTGATAGGACACTGGGTGACCGAAGCAACACCCCCCGCATAGTTGGTACCCCGTTGAAAAATACCCAGCCAGTGCTATTAGAAAGCGGGTCAGAAGGCGGTAAATAGTGAAGATAGTCTATACTTGCAATGGTGGTACTTTTAGTCATACTTTTATCGTTGAGTAAATCCTTGACATTAACCTTGAATTGATCGCCCTAATAAAATTCATTCATAACTTAAAATTCTATCACTTAGTTGGAGAGAAAGAATCACACTTTAATTCCTCTGATTAACGGGTGCGGAACGTCCCTCCAGCTACGGTAGTGCTAAATGGGCAGTCAGAAAATCTGAGGCACAAGCGGCAGAAGTGGACGAAGGAGCGAGTAAACCCATCTGGAGCTAGGTCTCTGTTCACTATTTCTAAATCTGTAGTTGGGCAATGACCTCGAAGCATAAAGAGAACACTACAAGGAGAAAGAACACGAGAGCAGCGAGCATCTTGAGAAGCCGAGAAGAGGTTTTGGCTAGGATGGTTCGTGGAAGTATTTAAGGGAGCAAGTGAACCTGATGCACGTTTCTATGCTCAGACAGCATTCTTTCGAGAAGCATTGCAGAGGTAATCAGGGGCAAGATACAAGCGCCTAGGTTGGGGGGGGGGGGGGGGACACGCCTGCCTATCTCACGATCAGAATGTGTTCAAAGGAACGAGGAACAAGAAACGAAAAACGAAGCATCGACGGCTACGGTGCGTCCAACTTTGAATAATGTTCAAGGATGTGTGATCGAAGGTGGGTCAAGAAGAGACAGATGCATCTTGGCAGAAGTCCTGGCTGATTCACACATTGTTGACGGGTAAGATGGATGCAAAGTAATGGCTTGCCAAGGAAAAATTTGGCCAACGGAATCGATATCCTGAAGTAAAAGGGAAAAAGTTTAAACAGTAAAATTAACCTTAGCTTCAACGGGACATAATGCATCTATGTGCGCCTACCGCTGTCGACGGTGTTGATCTAAGTTACCGGCGCAACCGCGATGAGACTTGCTCGAGCTTAATTTTTTGGTCCCCTAGGATCAAGTTTTAAATTTTGGAAGAATGTCATTTAAGACGGCGACATAGGCTCACAGTAAGTTCGTATAATGGACTCAAAAGATGGTCGTGGTTACGTTCAGAGATCGAACGTTCATATTCGGAACTTGCCGAAAGTTGAACATGACAAACTGTTATTCTACGTCGTCAATATTTAACGGGTGCGGTATGTACATGCCTCCAGAGAAAGATGCAAGTTGGCCGACGTAATGAGCTGAAGACATGTCCTTCTTCTGTTACTATTCGTATTCACCCTCAAACCACAGGACCTCCCCGCGGCCGCTTCCGTTTCGGTTAGACACAAGCCTTATACCAACATGTTGATCCATTTATCTCATCAAAAGATGATTGACGAAAATGGCACAATATCGAAAATTTGATGCATGTTCCTTGTGCTATATTTGACGCTTGAGATCAGTTGAAACATGACGATTACTAGGACACTAGAACGACCTTAATGCGGAATGAATGGAGCGCTCATGAAAGCTGTCAGAGCTAGCAGCATGTAAGGCTGTTCATCTACGACTACCCCGCGTACCATGGTGATTCGCCAAGGAAAGATGAAGCAAGGAGCTCTCTTCCTTCCGAGAAGCAGCGGATCAAGGATGCTTATATAGATGAGACAATGAGAAGAAACACTCTTTGCCTTGGAAACAAGGGCCAAGAAATCAAGAACGACTCAAATAAATTCTACAACTTGCATCCCTTGGATAATCAAGGTTGGACATATGGATCCTAGTGAGCATAAAAGACCTTTTTGATTGGCCCAGTTGCAGTTCCGAGCCGGACCGATTCATTCCGGATTTGTCCCGTTGCTAACGGAGACGTCACATGACGTCAGTGAGGGTATGTGTCTTTTTGCGAAACCGACCTTGTCAGACCTTCCTTGACCATGGACCACGATGACACTCACACTCTCGCCCATTATTAAGCCCCAAACGCGCCGCCTCTCGCTGTCACCCCGCTCGCTGTCGCCGTCGTCGATACCGTCGTCACCGTCGTCGGTGCACTCGTCGAGCTCGGCCATTTTTGAGCGTGACATCGAGCCCATTTCACTACCCCTACTACCAGCACATTCGAATCCTCACCGTATACCTCGTGGAAAGCCCACAGAGAACTCCGTACCATCCGTCCTCGATTCAGCTGCGGCAATCCTGGTAGATTCGCATGCGGGTGACGTCGACGTCGAGGTGCTCACTCCGGCCGTCAGCCCGCTGGTGAGCCGCAGTCCGTCTCCAAGGGCCTCGTTGCTGCTCACAACGTCATCCCTGGGCCCGCCATCTCCCACGAGCATTGCTCGCGAGCTTTCTCCGTCCCCCTCTCCAAACACCGTAATGAAACGCTTGTCGTTTCTGTCGTACAGTGATCTCCTTGCTTCCAATCCCACAAACACAGTAACGCTGTCTTCCTTAACTTTGGAGCCGCCTACACCGCCGCACATGCTGACCTTGACGGACGGCAGCGCATTGAAAGGCTTCGATGAGTGGGAGAAAGAGGGGCTTGGTATGGGGCTCGAGGAAAGGCTGGAGGCTGTCAGCGGGGCAACGAGTCCCATGTCGATCAGGAGCCGCCCTGTCAGTGTTGTGAGGTCTTGAACGGTTTTCTATACCCCCACGCTCCTGTTATATTCGTCATTCCACCATCTTGTTCAAAGTCATGCCTCGTCCTTTTCGCTCAGAATTCCAACTATCTGCTTGTGTCTTTTTATCTACTTTGTGCCATCATTTATTTTATCATCGTGTATGTACGTACCAACTACGAATCTGTCCATCTTACGATACATATTATACATGCATCCTTTGTGAAGTGTTTATTTCTTGTTACTGTTTCGTCTACCCATCTGGATGATTGGGAACAAATCTGCATTGATGTTGCTAGGCATTGAGATCAGGGCAACTTAAGTATATTGTTCGGTGAGATACCGCCATGTAAACCCCGGTGTTACTGTGGACGCTTGAGAGTCAAGATAGATGACTCCCTGAGCCTTGATGAAGGCATTCAAGTTGTCGCGATCAAGTACTCAGTTAGCTCAGTTCATTAAACTTGAGCAATCAAAAATGGCCATTGTACTCTACAACATCTGCATGTACGTGAGCGTTGACAGCCTTAAGATCTGCAATGTGTCGGGGTATCTCGTGAGGCTGCGAGGGTGAGGGTGAGGGAAAGTCCATCTGCTGAAGACTCTGTAAACACCGAGGCCAAACAGGGTCTTTGTGTCGTAGGAGAGCGTGTTGATGAAGGGCGGTGATGTTATCCTGAGTGAGTAGAACAGCACAAGCTGTGTAAAGGGATCCCGGCTCATGGCGGTATTCCAAAGATTTCTGGCGTATGTGAGGATCCAATTTCCCGGACGACAACCCGGTGATAAATGCGGCTATGATTTCTGATAGACCCCAGGTAGTGATGAGGACGTCGACGGAGCCGGCGCTCCCAGTGAGCCAGCCAAAGAGCCGCTCGTCAACAAAATGAGCAAAAGCCGCGTTCATGGTGGATGAATGCTTAAGTAAGAAAATGATAAGTTCGGCTGCTTCTGTGGTATACGGAGCGTACTTTAGAGGTGTTGATAACCACGTATCATCTTGGAAAGCAATGGACGCAAATTTAACAGCCAATTCTGCAGGAAACGTGTCTTCAGGAGGGCGGGAGGATATGCAGCTGAGAACACGAAAGAAAGTGACCAATGTCATACGACGATCTTCAGGGAACATTGAATCACTGCCAACGCCGCATTCGTCCGATAGAACCCAATACATACAGTAGCCTTAGTACGGCGGAATGATTGCGGTCTAGGGAAACAGAAGCTAAATTGCCTTCAGGTCGATGGATTCTATACTTTTCGACGCCCATGTAAGCCATAATGTTTCGTAGGACTGCGCTGAAAAGACTTCCAAGAGAGGGATCAAGCGCGCATATCCTGTGTACGGAGGGGCGTCGGGCCAAGCTTAAGAGAAAACGTACTCGGCAACCGCTAGGTTTAAGGTGCTGAGACGTGGGATCGTGATATACACTATCCTTGACCTCGAAATCTGCACAGCCTTTGAGCAAGATATGGAGGGAAAGTTTGCAATCGGCACGCCAGTATTTAGCGGGAAGTGCATGAAATAGAAGTTCATACACTTTCAGGTTGATGGGTAGGATCTTGAACAGAAGACGACTCCACGCGACGGTCTGTAGACAGAATATCTGACTGTCCGACGGGGCCCGTGGAACAGATACGATTAAATCTCGGATCTGTTCGCAATCCCTGTAGGATTCACCAGCCAGAAGTCCTGCACGAAGGTCCCGCGCCAATTGGTCCCGCTTATTATATGTTCGGATAAAACATCCCGAAATCGAAAGCAAAGGTGTGCACGGATGCAGCGGTCCATCTTGCTGGCGTCAACAAGAACTTCGCTTCGATGAGCATCATCCAAAAGTCCTTGGAGTGTAAGGGCACACACACTCGGAAGCCCTTCTGCATGATGCTGTACGGAGTTCACAGATCGTATCGGTAAAGTAACAGTTGATTCCGCAACAATTCTTTGAACGCTAAGGTTGGACGATACGGAGTACAAACAGGACAAGGCGCGTGCGTCCGTTTCGTCGGCATTCAGCTTAACGGCTTCACATTCAGCTTCTCTAAGCGTACGAATGGGAGGTTTTTTCGGAACTGGTGAGGACCTGGACCAGTACTTGGAGATATGACCGATGAGAAAAGGCCGTTGTGAACAACATAGGCATAGAGAGGAAATATGTAGTGCGACAGCGGCGTCTTGTACAGGCACGAGGGGTATACGATTGGAAGGAAATTGGTGATGAAATACATGGCGAATAATATAAAGGCGATAGACCCGACAATGGATGCAATCGACACTTGCATGGCAGTAGGAATATTACCAGACCCATTAAAACCACGCAAAGCGACGTGCTCATAAGGACGGATAATAATCCAATAATGAAACCTACACGCCACTTCCGCAGTCCCATGTATCGAAATTGACGAACCCGACATCTGTCCCGGGGCGTGCCAGATGGAACAGCCATGTACTCATGGATCCACTGTTTCGTTAAGACAGCAAACAGTGCGGTAGTGAGGCTGAACGAGAGGCTGGTGAACCACAGTCCATTTACTAACGAATCGGAAGTTGTGGGATGAAAGTCTGAGAATGGAGTAAGGCCGGAGCGGGGAACGTCGTTCACAATGGAACCATTGGCCGCTGCACGCTGGACGTCGATTAGCTCGAATAGGAGCGACGCCGTGACCTGACCGTAGTCGACTTGAAGGCTCTGCGACGTTTGAGCAACGAAGGTAGTGACCACAGCAGAGAAGAGACCAGCCTATTCTGCCATTAGAAAGGAAAGATTAAACCAGAATCTGTGCTTACGAAAACTAGCAAAACATCTAATCCATCTCTCCATCCTTCTACCATCTCGATGTCAAATGTAGCGCACTCTTCAAGGTATGTTCTCCACACCCTGGCAGTCGGTCCCAATTCCTCGTACCGCTTGTCTTCGGGGAATTTCTGTTCGTAGTCGAACGGGTCATTGCCTTTTAATGATCAGTGAACTTTGTTACGCCAGAGACATGATCTATACGCACCTTTGACTACATATTCACGCATTTTCACACCCATCAGCCCTCTAGTAGAATTTCTCCGTCTGCGAGAAGAGTCATATGCGGGATTCTCGACCTCCGGCTGGTCATTGTCATGTTGGGTAGGCTCTTCAGATTTCTTCCCCTTTGTGTCGTCGAGTACATCCTGAGAGGAAGGCATGGTCGCAGAAGAGGATACAACGAGGCAGACAGCACGATAGGTGCCGATACAGCATGTTTGGGACAAGTCGTTCCAGAGCTCCAAATGAGTATATATTTGAACTCCGCACAGCTCGAGTCTGTGTGGACTGTCGTGTAACGCTACCTACCTACCGGTCCGATTTGTTGCTATGTGGGGCGCTGTGGGTCCAATTTTCCAAAGTAAAATAATAACAAACGAGTTCAAAGATTTTGTATTCAACACGACAAAACCCAGAATACATAACGACAAAAAACGAACGAAAGCAACGATTCTAAGAGGATGTACGTTACATATTCAAAGGCAAGGATAACAAAGGTAAACGAGTCATAGAAATAATTAATCAACGGAGTCCGTTTTTTTTATTCGTACACGTCGTTACGATGACTTCTCTTAGGTTTCATATGTGCAACCCCCAGTCCTGAACGTCGGCCTTCACTCCGCCGCTGCTCCCAGAATGGTCGTACATCCCCAACGCCCTTCCTAGCATCTCATCACTCAAACCCCTCAACCTCAAACATTTTTGGAATAACCGTTTCTCGACCCCCCATCCGACACGGCTAGCCACATGTTGTCCGGCAACGAGACGTTTGATCACTTTCGCCCGCATCCGTTGCTTGTGTACATTAATCAGTGGCTCTATCTGCATCCCAGGCGGAAGTGGCTGCAACGCGCCGAATACCTCGGGTTGAGAAAGCGTATCGTAACTGTATGTCACAAAATCGATAGACACAGGCGTAGTGGGAGACGTGGGGTCAATCAGATCCGGCAGGTGGGAATATTCCGTCAGCTGAGAAAGATATACCCCGATGAAAGGAATGCATTCCGTAATATCAGCCTGTTTGGCCGCAGTGCTGGTGCTATGTGTCGAATGCGTCGGCCTCGCTTTGGTGGATGCGCTGCTGGCTCTGTCGGTCCCATTCGCTGCATGAGCGTTGCCATTCGTAGTTCCGACTCCCCCACTAACGATGGACGGCGCATGTGAAGAGGGCTCAATTGGCTTCGCATCAACAATGGTGTCTACTGCACGTCGAATGTGCATGAAATTCCTGTCGCTCGTTGTCCACTCTTTCAAGTCATGGAACATCCGCTTGTCTTGATGCGGGAAGGTGTCCCACCTTCGCTTCATGGCTCGCTTTACCCAAGGGCTTTGCAAGGCGCTCACGATAGCGACAACGGTGTTATAGCTACCCATTTCGTACGATTTCTGTGCATGCCACATAAGGTTATTGGGTACTGTCGCAGTTGAAATGAACACTTACGATGGCGATCTTGAGGAACTTAGCAACCACCTTTAAACGCTCCATTGGGGGGGTCAACACAACTTCAGAGACCGTGAAATTAGCCATCAGATTGAACCTCGCCCTCACGGCTGCAAGCACACTCGTCTTCTCAGGGAACCTCCCTTCAGCCTTCCACCTCGCCCTGTCTTTGAGGTATTGCGCCCAATCCAACACATCTACCTCATTCTCCCGACCAATCCAATCGTCCAAGATGAGCTCTTCAAATTTGATGCTAATGAACAGTTCTCGATCAATCATACCAAAATGCTGAGCAAGACTTTCAGCCGTATAGCTGAGGATGAATGATTTATGAGAGCGGGGTGCTTCATGGGGAACGAACTTGGAAGAAAGGGGCACAGTTGTGTTGACGGAGGTAGAACTTGCGGAAGACGTGGTTATGGCATTAGATGACAAAGTTGATGGGAAACCATTTGGCATACGGCTCTGGAGGATTTCCAAAGGAACTGCATCCTCGGGAGCAGGCTTCGCTTGCGGAGGACGTTTAGAAGATTCCCCGGGGCATGGAATGCTATGTGATGCTTTTGTTGCTATCGGCGTTGTCGCAGCATCAGCCGTAGGACTATCAGCAGCGAGGAATTGTTCGGCATCCGTATATGATGAAGCAATGGAGGCAACATCGATATTATCAGACGGTGAACGTAAACCCCCCGTTTCATCTTCGCCCTCATTGCTGCCGTTATCTTCATCAGCTTCGTCATCATAGACCTCTTCATCAGAGAAACGTGGTTCCTCATCCTCATAATCACCAGTCGCCATGCGAGTTTGCATAGTCTTCACCCAATCGTCTACTTTCGATGCTTTCTCCTGCTGACGTTTGGGATTGATCTGACCCTCCAAGCGACGCAGGGCATCTTCTACATCACCAGCTTCGCCATCATCACTCAAAGAGTCGACGAGTGCATTAACCTGCCACTGCTGTATGTTCCTCCCGAGACCTACCCCAGATGCGGACGACGCAGCGGAACTCGCTTCTGATGCCACCGATTCATGCGATACTATTCCCATCGATGAAACGCTCTCTGACCGACGCACAAACTCAAAGTCTCGGCGTAAAGGTAACCTACGTAGAGGCTTTCGCAAACCTGGCGGTGAAGCGGGGGCCCCAGGAGCGTGCTCCGATGATGTATCCGATAGATCTAGCTCATCAATTGATTCGACGTCAAACTGCCAAGGAGACTGGAACGCCGGAAACTTGGCTGAGTTCCGATCGGCGGATAGAGGTTCACCGAATGAGTCCGTGGACGATGTTCGTGCCAGAGAGACGGTATCAGCTTCTGGTGTTTGAGGGGCCGGTTCATCGTCCATCGTAGAAGTGCTAGAAAATGATGTGGTGCCAGCATCAATATAGGAGGGTGAAGCCTCCGTGGATGTTGAAGGCGGCAAGACTGTAGCTTCTCCCGAAGATCTGTTGGCTCCATCGGACACATGAACGAGAGAATACGCAGGAATTGGAGAAGGTTCGGGAACCTGGAATGATACAGGAGTAGCTTCGGGTTTAGCCGTTACCGCAGAGGACGTAGGTGCAACGGTACTGGGATTGGAGGCTACATTTAAATTATCTGGCTGCGGCTCGATGAGCTTCAGATATTGCTCAACTCCACCTTGAACTTTCAATAGATCTCGAGAAACCGACAGTTCTAAATCAAATGCGGACACATGGGTATATGAGCCCAAAGGTGCTCGAGGGGTTGTCCTATTATTCAAGACACGCTTCCATCGACCGAGACGTCCGATCGTCTTCACCAAAGCAGTCTTCACGAACGCGCGGGATAATGCATTGTGATGGATAGGTAATGTCGCCGAGGTTTGCACGAACGGCACCGCAGCTTCTTCACCAGGATCAGAGTTGTGATCCGGTCGTGGCAATATAGATAACGATGAGAAAGCTATTGAGTTCGACCCTGGAGGTGATAGATTGGGACCGAGATGAATGTTGCTGATGTGTGCGTTGGGAGGATAGTTTGGTGCATATATAGGCACATCTTCATCCTCAGGTATGAAGTCCAAATCCAACTCGCCAACATCTTCTTCTCCGTGGAGTTTCTTAGTTGCCTCAGCAAACTTTTCTCCAAGTAAGTGCTCCTGTTTCCCTGAAGAGTGCTCTTGTTGAACGCTGGTGCTAGTCGGCCGGGATTTCGCTTTCGAAGAAGTACGTGTATGTGCTTTCTTACAGTCTTGTGCAATCTTCTTCAATTTCTTGACGATACTCTGAATAGAATATAGATGAGTTTTTCGCGTAAAGGATTTACGGAAAGAAGCCCACCAAGCCGTCACTATGCTTCTCCAGTATAGGATCGCGGATCAAAGCATTTAACCAACTCGCAAAAAGCAATCTCAACTCCCGATTCGGCAAAAAGTCTACGGTGAAGAAGGTCAAAAGCCAGTACCGAAAGGCAACAAATGTTCGGACGCGGACAATTCTTCGGACCATTTCGTCACTCGGTGAATTGTGTTTCTGAAGAGCCCAGTGAAATCGACAAATTAAAAGGTGACACAGATCAACGGCTCCGATATAAGTGCGGTAGGTGAGGAAGAAGTCCAGCAGCTCATCGTAGTTCAATTCGCTCGTCATTTGCGCGATCCATCGTTCGATGGATGCAGCTACAAGAATTTTCTGGAACTCCTGCGTTGGCGCAATTTTTAACTTGGACACTTCTGGACTCTTTCCCTTGCGACTGCGGCGTCCCGAAAGGCTCGAGGCAGACGAGTAGCTGTCCTGCGAAACAGACCTATCGTCGCCATCATACCTAACTTCGGCCCATATGACAAACCGAGGATCATTACGCGGTGCAGCTATATTGCCCTCAGAGAGTGACAGTCTGATAACTGCGGTCTCTTCAGCTTGAGAGGAGAGCTTATCAATAAGCGGAACTCCCCGATATGTCTGAATGACATCAAAAACGTCAGTCGAAAAGCGAGAATGTATGGCCGTCTCGGAGCTAGGCATATATGGATCCGGTCCGGATTCCACGTCCACGACATCGGGCGGTCGTAGGCGGATAGCAGAGGGAGAGCGAGTGAGCTCTTTTTGCTGGGAGGATAACTCTGATATTATAGGGGAGATGGGCGTATTGCTTGTAGATGCTACTTTGCTCGGACACTCGGTCTGGCGAGCTGTTAACCCAGATTCAAAAGACTGCATCTCGCGTAGATGCCGGGTGGAGCGCAGGCGGTCGAGACCGGGTTTTCGCGGTGAATCGAAGTGTACTCCGGGTCCAAAGGGGTGTATGATAGGTGTAACAGGAACGGATAGGACAGAGGGACTAATGTCAACGTCCGAGTCCTCAAAGCTGTGGGATGATGATGCGCTCAAAGATTCCAATGATGTTGTCCAATCCATGACTTGGCCAAACAGGTCCATCCCTCCGTTATTAAGGGAGGCGTCAATTTCCGGGAGTCGAGGGGCATCAGCGGAGGTGACACTATTAGAATGTGGGCGAGTAAGCAGAGATTCCCCGTCCTGTGCACGGGGATTGTTCATGTCCGGTATCGACCGCGTCTTCCTCAATTTCCTAGGTCCGGTAAAGCTCATCGTTGTTGCTGTTGTGGAACCGCTATTTCTGAACAAATTCGGAAGCGCATGTACACTCATCCGTGAACGGCGCTTCGACCGGCTTCGATGAGACTGCGGGAACTTGTTGGCCGGTTTCCGCTGAATCGTGAATTCTACGTCGGCTGCTGAGGCAGCAGGAGCTGACTGATCTCGATGACTGCAATAGACGCCGTTGGTTGTAATATTTAGAAACAGGCAAATAACACACACCCAACTCGAAACATCTGTTTCCCGTGTTGATTCACGAAAGCTGTGATAGCGTACGGTGACCTCACGTCTTTCCCTACACCGTAATGTTGGTCATACCGTCGCTTCAGCTCGCGTGCTGCGGGTCCGGAAGATGTTTCTACAAAGCTTCCATCGGCTAAACGGCGTTCATCAGTCGATGAAGAAATCTTTGAATGGACCTAGCGTGAAACGAATTTTACTCACGAGCAATAGATATATCAGCAGTAGCAATGTCTGCAGGCAGCGGACCCAAACTCGTTCTCTCGTCAGAAGAGTCTGGATAGGTGAAGGAGGCTTGAGATACGTTTGTCGACGGTGTTGGTATCGGAAGTAGTTGAGAAGAGCTGGTCGAGGAAGTAGGTGACTGTGCCGCGGACGAGGAGGGTGATGGTACAGGTACGATAGTGGACAGATCTGGCATAGTGTTACGGCTAGACGATGCTTGTGGTGGTCCTGCACGCAAATGGTCGTCAACGCCTGGATTTGAAGGCCCGCCCAGACTGGTCATGATGGGATGTGTATGCAAGAATTACAGTGACAAATGCGGAGGCAAAGACGAGAAACTATTGAAACATTCTATACACAGACTGAATATATCGCAGGAGGCGTCGTTAATTTGGTTTACAGCTCGTGAGGAGATAATGAAGGCGAATTGGCGCTGAGGTAGTAGGGTAGCGGGCTCGACAGAACAGATATTGACAGTCAAGGAGGAAAGGCGTTATTGCGTAAGCGAAGAGGTCGTCGTCGTAATCAGCGATGTCCGCCGTTGTCCGCCGCGGTCGTCGTCGATGATGATGATGGTGGTGGTGGTGGTAGATGGTCAAGATTCAATTTGAGACGACAGAAAACAAAAGGGAATGCACGTGATCCCACTTCGCGTCCACGGAATTTTCTGTCATTTCTCTTTGCCACCTACCACCACTATCAACACCGACGCAATGTCCATCGTTACGATAAGAGTACGTATTTATCTCTTAGCGAACTTGGAGATACCTAATATCTTTTCAGAACGTCGAATTCATCAACAATCCAGCTCGATTTTCCGACGTGTATCGCTTTCGGGTTACCTTTGAGTGTATAGCACCTCTGAAAGACGGTACAGTGGCATCCCGAATGTCAGTCGCGTTCATTTTAGACTCATTTTACTCTCAGACCTCGAATGGAAGCTCATTTACGTGTCGTCTCCCGGCAACGAAGAGCTGGACCAAGAACTTGACGATTGTCTCGTTGGACCTGTGCCATCCGGCGTCAACTCATTCGAATTCGAAGGCTCTCCTCCGGATCCCTCAAAAATACCCTTAGAAGATGTTCTTGGAGTGGCAGCTCTAATCCTGACGGGTTCTTACAAGGACCAAGAGTTTGTTCGGGTGGGATATTACCAGAACACGGAGTATGACAACGAAGAGATGAAAGAGACACCCCCATCAAAAGTCATGTTCGAGCGGTTGGTGAGAGATATCAGTCTCAAGCCCCGTGTTACGCGATTTCAGATAAAATGGTGCGTTTGCGGCTGCCACTCGGACTATTCATCTACTCATGTTTCTTTAGGGATGTTGCACCCCCGCGACAAGAGGGTGTGGCTACTGGTGCTGCCGCATCTGCTCCTGTCCCTTCTGCCGACGACCTAGATGGTTCTGGGGAAACACCAGCACCCAACGGTGCTCCTTCGTAGCATCGATCATGCCAATCATTTGTACTTCGAGTCGTAGAGGGTGTAAGTTGTGTGCTTCGAGTTGCTGTATATCCCCTTCCTGGTCCTGCTGTAGCATATTTGAAGATTGGTATCGACATTGTTTCTCTTCAGTGACCGCCTTGGGTCTACGAGAGGTCTTCATCATGACGCTGAATGTGCCTGAAGTTTTCTCTCCCGCGTTTGATACGCTTAAAGCCTCTTAATTGCCTAGGGCGACAGTCGATTGACATTTTCTAGGTAGGCTCACATGACCGACCTGATAGATCGATGCTAAAAATTCTGCTGCTGCCGCAATGGACATGGATAATGACTTTCTTGCGGATCCGATTAATGCTTGCATCAAATGTAGGTAGCAACGCACCATCGGTATGGCATCCTGAAAAACCGAAAGCCTAGCAGAGAATCATTAGCTCTGAGTGCTACTTTGTAAAGTCTAGCGACTGGCTGACTGGTGAATTTTATTTTGGTCTGGCAGAACGGAATGCACCATCGGTACGGCTTAGATCAGTTATCGTTTCGAACGGGCTATCGTACACTTAACGATGCATTCCCAGGACTCTGAAAATTTTTCAAGTGTGGTTTATTCACAGATCTCTCCGCATGGGAAAAAAACGGCTTCCATTGCATTCTTAGATACTGAAACTGGCCTCATGCCACTAAGGATACGCAGATTATATCACTCCTACGATATCTTGAATATCTCCGCAATCTAGAAGAACATCACTATGATCACCTGGCACTGGGTAGCAGGTCTCTCCACTTTGCAAGAAATGTACCATGGTACGACGATGTCATCACAGTAAGCGACCGACTCCCTCTCGAGGTGCCCAGTTTCCATGTACTTGCCGACGCGAAGGGTGTTTGCCTCATATGCATCTGAAGTGGGGAAGCTCGCCAGTAAATGGTTACTGGAACGACTGAATCATACTTGCCCTCACAGACACCTTGACACAATAAACCAGCATGGGAGGTGGCTTAGAAAATGTACTTTCCAGTATCCGCTTATCGTCATGCGCTAGCCTCGATTGTGTTCTCAACACACAGACGTGAACATATTGAGATGTGCTGACACCTGGAGGGTATTAGTATCAGTCTATCGAGACTGTCGCCTTTGTAGATTGTGCAAACTGCTACTACTTATGCAATTTCATATACAGTGTCCTCCCGGGCCTTCCAGATATCGATGTACCGGACCCTAGCGCGATCTTGTTATTGTCCCCACCTTGCTGTGTGCTTTTACTCGGCAGCTATTCGTAGCGGTTTAGCACGCGAGTTTGCATGGCACAACAAGAAGAAGCTTGGTCTGGGCGTCGCACAAGTGATGGTGGTTATGTAGGTCATTGTATAGATCGCCATTACTCAGTGTACGTAATGTCTGGAACCGGCGTTCACTGTGTGGACACTGCCGTCACCCATGTAATCTATAGTACCTGGACATTGAACTGAAGGGTATTCTGTGGAAAGGTATCCAGTCGGTGATGTGTAACGAATGAAGTAAATGTACAAGAATCGGTATACTTATTTTCTTGCACAAAAATTAACCTCTTGGAAAACATCAACAGAAAACATCCTCACCTTGGGAAGAAATATCAACATTCTTCAACTTTCCTCCAACTCTCCGACGACCCCTGCTGTCTCTCCTGCACGCTCCTAAAGACAAGCGCTAGCAAGACAGCTACTTCCACCGGCGCAATAACACACTGTACAACAAGGATCCATAACTCCTGTGTTTCCTCCTCAATAGCCCTGGTCCCAAGCAAGACCGTCACCAACAGAACGGTCGTGAAGGCTCCCAACCACATCGCCCCTACCACCGCCCCACACACAATACTCCCCATCGTCGTCGACGACGCAGGGTCTAAGCGGGCGCTATTACGATACTCCAAAGTAAGGATCGTCGCATGATACGCGAGGGTAACCCCATAGACCGCTGGGATCGTGAAGAACGAGTCATACCCCAGATGCAGCATGGAAAATATGAAAACGATGCTGGAGATAAGGAGCGATGCGCATGTCAACAAGAACAGCGGCGGCCCGCATCCGCGTGTAAAATTTGGCATCGATAGCTGGGCGCTCAACGCTTAGTAGTAGTAGTACAAGATTCTGAACGTGTGGAAGAGTAGACACCGCGTGTCGCCCTATATACCGAAAGCGGCGATGATTTCGTTTCCATCTCGTCAAGATAGATAATCCTACAAAAACATGGCAACGTTGTGATGACGTCGGATCCACTGCCCACAGTAGCTGTGCACCTTGCGCTTGGTTGCTGACTTGCGTGGGTTGATAGTCTTCTAGGGGGAAACGCAGAATGGTCCATCAGCATTCATTGATCCCAGTCCAAGCCGCAGCCGCACACATTTGGAGTTCCGATCGTGATGGTAGCAAGAAGCAGATAAATGGAAGTCGAAGGAAATGGTTCTGTACTTTCCAAGGGTCATGAGTTTCCGTCGAAACGGTTTGCAATTACACCAATAACAGGCATGACGATTACTTGTACACATGTTGCTTTTTGAACGTTTCTAGGTCTACACAACTCGACTTCGATATACCAAAACATAGGCGGAGGAATCCTCCCCGCCGCCGTCCAGAGTACCCAATTTGTCCTTGGGGAACACGGATACTTTGTCGTCGTCAAACTTGTACCAATCTTCATCGGCTTCGATGCTATCGAGAGCGTTAACATCCATGTCGGTGACCGGAGCTGTACAAAAGCATATAAACAAATGTCTATCTGTGAAATAAGACGGACGTACCTCCAGAGTACGACGGATCATGGAACACGCTTTTCTTAGCGAATCCAATATAATGACCGGAGTCTGCAGCCGCGCCTTTGTGCGTCACAATGGCTTGAAATACAATAGTTAGTCAAGTAATTCAACGGAGGCATGACGACACTTACCCACGAGATCATACAATCCACTCCAACTGGCTCCGGTATCAGCTTTGATGGCGGGATCCACAAGGTTATCAATCTCTTCTCGTTCTTTTGCTCTCTTCACTGATTCCGGTTCCCCGTCATCGATATCCATGGCTTGAGCTTCCGTACCACCGGCCAAACCCCGACGCCTCAGTCGAGCTTTCCGTCGTTCCGCTCGACTCTTGTCGATCTCCACTAGACGTCGGTTCACCGTCGTAAGTTTGCTTTTGAGATCTTCCGAAACAATTTCCAGAGCATCATAAGTAGTCGGGAACTTGACTTTACGCTGTAGTCAAGTTAGACAGTGAGTGGAGACACAGAGATTTCGCGTACCATGATCTTCGCTTTGCGTCCAACATCAGCCCTCCACGCGAATCGGACCATGTGAACAGTAAGGTACGCAGGTAGACGCGTAAGGCACGCGGTTTGGATATACGACGCGTCATGCCCGAGACTAGGGGAGTGTTTTGTTAGGGTTGTCTTCAGTGACTACCTGTGACATTAGCACGCCACAATTGCATGAAATAGTACAAAAACTCACGTTAGAGATTCCGGTAGCCATGTAGTTCGTATTAATTGATATATGGCACTCTAACTTCATGACCTTCTCGGTGGTAATGGTAGGAGGTTCGGGTGTTTCTGATGGATCGACTTCGAGTTTTGTCACTCGCTGGATCTCACCGGCCATCCATTGATCAAGGAACTTCTTGCTTGGATCATCCGAGTCGGGGACTTCACGCAGAGAGTTGAGGATCTGGCTGTAGGCTTCTTCCGCGTCTTGCTGGGCGAACCCACGAGCAATGCCACCACTGGCGCCGCTTCTGTCTATTTCGCCAAACTGGGGATGTGTTTGACGAAGAGCGGTCAGGAAAGCATAGGGAACAACAGGTTCGGTGGTACGAGACATGTCGTTGTAAAGGTCGCGAATGGTCAATACGAGGGGTGGCGTAGTGGATGCCTTATTGAGTGCCAATTGGAGAGGTGGTATCGCCCGGATAGCTTGAATCGTAGAGTTCATGTAACAGGTATTTCCTAAGCTAAGGAGGTTCAGTAGGAGGATATGACAAGGCTGAAAGGTAAAGAAGTACTTTTTGAGGCCCACAGGCATCGCCAGTGCCTCTGCAAGTTCGGAGTCTTCCATATCTGCAACGAGACAGTCGTTAGACCGTGTCACTGTCATTGAGAGCATATTATCCCACCTTCGAGGAAAGTAATAGGCTTCTCCGGAGGCTTGGGTAGTTCTCCAGCAGCGCCAATAACCATGAACGTCTGTCCAGCCTTGGGGTTGATCTTTTTCCAGTCTGTGTCGTCCTAGCGGCCAATCAGTCTGACATCGATGAAGGATTTTATGTAGGCGCCTGACCTTGAGAACGCCACCTTTCACCATGACCTTCATACGGTCCACTGGGACTCCAGTGACCTGGTAAATTGCCTCCTTGAAGTGCAAAGGCGGTATCTCAGGATTGAGGACGACATTGAGTGTCTTGCCAGCGTGCTTGACGTTCACGTCCATTCTTACGCGTCGTCAGTCACAGTCACGGCGAGAATATATGACATCTGTGACCTCTCGGTAATTGCCGAATCAATGCTGCAGGAAATCTCTTCCGAATTTTTCGAGTCTGGTGTAGTATTTCATACTGCACGATTACCAGAGATATACAACTATCTGTTCTTGGAATTTTCGTCCCAGCTTCCAGGTAGTCCCAAAATGGATATGTGACGTCACACTATTACGATATACTCCCTGCCGCACAGCCTGACGTATACGTGTTTCTCTTTCATCTTTACCATGACCATCTATTACTCTCTCACTTTCTTCTTGCTTGCCGCAGAAATGGGTACCTTTTGCCTCATTGTTCTGCCTCTGCCACACACCGTCAAGAAGCGCGTTTTCAGCTTTCTATCAACCTCGCCCTTTGTCGCAAAAATCGCCTATGCCTTGAAGATATCTTTCATCTTCGTAGGAATCTTATTCTTCGATGCTCTTCAACGAATGTTCCGTGTTACCGCGGAAGCTGAGCTCGCAAAATCGGGTCAGCAGGGTGTTTCGGACGTGCGCACAGAGACCAACCTTGCGGCACGTAAATTCTAGTACGTGCCTCGACTCGATGTGGAACGTGGTCTGACGTGTTTCTTTACTGCAGCTCTCAAAGAAACGTGTACCTTACCGGGTTTACCCTGTTCTTGTCCCTCGTTCTCACGCGCACCTTTTCCATCATTCTCGATCTCATTCAAGCCCAGGACGAGTTGCTGAAACACAACGTGAGCCACTGTTTTTTTTACCTTTTAAAGTTGCTTTTAAAGTTATGCCTAAAATGTCGTTAGGGCGAACTCGATTCATCGAAGGAGCTGGAGAAACTGCGAAAGAAAGCAGACGAATCGGTATGCCACTCACTGTTCTGTTGACCCCACCTCACTCACTTTTTTTTAGGATACCTTGAAGCGTGACTTAGAGAAGGCACACCGAGACCTCGAGACTCTCAAATCCCAAGCTCTCTCTCAGGCAGCAGAGTATGACCGCCTGTCCGATGACTACAACAAGGCATCCGGATCGTCTCCCAGGAGCAAGTCAGATTGAGTGGCACTCCTAGAAGTTCCAGTATGCACTTCTACAATCCTTTTCTTATTGTCGCAGAACAGGAGATGTACGATGACATTGTACATATGTGCAATCGTGACTGAAGGAGTGGGAGAATGATAATAGAAGATTGGATACATCCGCACCTACAAATGTAAATAGACAACAACAATCATCTTGTCTCAATCTTCTTCGATATTCTCACTCTCGACCGCACTTAGAAAGTATAACCTACCATTGGAGTCGTTCAAGGCGTGCATCAAGAATGAAAGGTAATATTCTCTTCTTGAAAATAAAGTAAAGTCTTACGGAAAGCCAGGAAAACGACCTGTCTGACGAACAGAGGCTTCCTGAAGACAATCAATTATGAAGAACTGGGCTGGCAGCCCGGGTATGGAGAACATACCTCGAAGAATGTGCAGCATTTGACCATGAAATAGTAGTCGGGTGGAAGGATGGCTTAGATGTGTTGCTCGTCTTCGTGTGTCTCAGGCCACCGTACATACGGCCTCCTCGCTAATTCGGTCTTTTCTCAGCAGTGGTTACGATCTTCGTTGAGCGAACGTCGCAGAGCTTACAGCTCGATTACCCAGGTCACGGCCTCGCTTCTATACGAACTGGTTAGCACTAGCGGGCAACTGTAGATGATGCCCTTGCGGACGATATTCCTCGCTCGGCTCTCATGCCTTCCTCCGATTTTCGGCCTGCAGCGTCCGAACTGTGTTGGTTTACAAGCCTCTCAGTATCGCTACCGCACTGGTCGCCGTGCTAGCGAAACATTGGATTCAGCAGCACATGTCCGTTCCATCTGGAACGCCTCGCGACCGTTGCTGCGTACGCTGGTTCCCATACATGCCTCCGGGAATTGTGCGCGCCCCTCATCATTGGATCCCACCCTGTCTGATGAGCGCGTCTTTTGGGATTTTTCTCGCTGGCCTGGTAGTACTTTCGGTGCCGCTACGTCTATAAGTCGCGTCCTTAGTTGGGGCTGTTACGTTCACTATGTTCTTAGGATACTCAATCACCAACTTTCTTCTCGTTCTCTGTCCATCATGCCCTTACAAGTCTCCGCTATTCCCATATATGTTTTCTCTTTACACACATTTCATTCGCAATAGCCCGCACAATTGGCTCGTCGTATCCATCTTGAAAACGAGAGCAACGGAGCGTTCGTACTGTCAAAGATGCAGGACAAGATGCTAGATGTAGTGCTGAGGGCGCGGGTGTCTATGCTTTATCATGGCTGTTCTCTATGTCATCCGGTCGCAGCGTCCAAAGCATTGTCTCTCAGTCCATCGGTGCACTACTGCTAAAGTCCGTGGACTTGTTGGGGCAGCACACGAAGAGTGTCTTTTTAACGTGTGTCGAGGTTATCGACAACGGTGTTAGTACTCGATCTGTCCTTGAACCGATTCAACAAGCCAAGGCCAAGCTTTCGATTCGTGCTACCTTCGACCTCCATTTCGGTTTTCGTGGGCCCATCATCCTTGCTATCATACTGGCCTGCTCATTACTGTGTACTTTTGTACATCTACAGGAAGCCAAAAGAGACTATACTGAAATAGAGGAAATGACATTTTGGAATCTATGGGGGCTGGTCCGAACTCAGAGGATCCATAGTGAAAGATATTACATAAGCTTCACAGATGGAAAAATGTTGTATTTTTTGAAGTCAAAGCAAGGCACAGAAATTTGAAAGAAGATCCAGCAGTATCAAAAATACATCGAAGTCCACAAAGGAAAGGATCTGAAGTTTATAAGGATTGACAATGGAAAGAAATATAGCAATAAAGAGGTAAAGGAATACCTCTAGGACAATAGCATACAGTTGGAATTGACTGCAGCATACTCTTCATCTCAAAATAGAGTTGCTGAGAGAATAAATCAGACTCTTATGGAGCATGCATATGCTATGCTAGAAGAACATCACTTACCAAAGTTTCTATGGCCTGAGGCAGTGGCATATGCCACATACCTGAAGAACCAATCACTAACCAGGGCCATCAAAAATGATCTGACCTCAGAAGAAGTGTTCCAGAGCATGAAACCAGATATTTCAGCACTCCAGGAATTCAGAGTAAAGTGCTAGGTGTTGCAGCAAGACAACAAGAGGTCAAAACTAGACCCAAAGTCAAGGAAATTTATTTTTACAGATCTTACAGATGAATCCAGGGCCTGAAGATATTACAACTCTCAAACCAGGCAGATTCAGACCTCAAGAAATGTTATATTTCCTGAAAGCAACACTACAGAGCCTATAGACACTGACTATATAGTCCTCCACTTTTCATTACTTGAGAAGGAGTCAGAGAGCAAAGTCAAGCAGACTCTGAATGGAAATAATAGCATTTTGGATGATTCCATGGATGCTGGAAATGCCAAATCAAAAGGGAAAACAGCCTCTGATGTGCCATCAATCAAATCAAAGTTTCCAATATGGTATAGAAAAGTGATTGAGCCACATGATAAATCAGCCTGGATTGCATAAAAGACTCAACTGAGTTACCAAACACTTCATAATCCAAGTGCACAAGCTGTGAAAACATCAGAACAACAGAGTACCTCAGAAGAATCATCTTTAGAAGCTGAAAATATTGCAATAGACTATGCATGCATTGGGGAGACTGCAGACAACCTCAGTGATGAGTCATTAAGCCTTGAAAAAGCCAAGACAAGACCAGACTAGTATCATTAGAAGAAAGCAATGGATGAAGAATACAATCTATTGACTTCCCTAGGCATATGGCAGCTGGAAGAATTACCCAAAGACAGATCACTTGTGGATTGCAAGTGGACTTACAGATTGAAAAGAGATGATAATGGGAAAATCATCAGATACAAGGCCAGACTTTTTGCAAAAGGATTTTCACAGGTATCTGATATTGATTTCTTCAAAACATATGCACCTATTGTCAGGCTGGACACATTCTGCCTACTTACAGCAATTGCTGCTCAAAGAAATCTAATCCAAATTAATGTTGTATGAACTCAAGCAATTTAGCTAAGTTTGGAACAAATTAAATGCTACATTTTTGAGACTTGGATACACCAGATTGATCAGTGATCAATATGTGTATATCAGACAAATGATTTCTGGTCCTATAATTATAGCTGTACATATTGATGATATGATATTGCTTGCCTCAGATGATGAAACCATGCTTAAAATGAAAGAAGAGCTTAAAAAGAAGCTAAATGTCACAGACATGAGGGAGATTCAATATATATTGGGCATGAAGATAGACAGAAATTGGGACAAGAGCACTATCACTCTATCTCAGAAGGTATATATTCTCAAAGTACTTGAGCAAGTGAGTATGAATGACTGCAAACTGGTTAAAATATCTATGGACCCAAATGTATGGCTAGAGAAAATTCCAACAGAAGACCCAAAAGGTGTTGACACAGCCACCAGGCAATATTACCATCCTGGTGTTAGATCACTAATGTATGTAGCCAATGGATCTCAGCCTGACATTGCACATGCTGTCACCAAATTAAGCAAGTATATGCAAAATCTGGCTGCTGAGCATGTCACAGCCTTGAAGCAAGTTTTCTGCTATCTAAAGAGGACTCTAGACTTTGGAATCACATATGGAGAGACTATGAATGAGGTGATACCTTATTCAGACTCAGACTGGAGAGAAGACAGAACAGATAGAAGATCAACATCTGATTATGTCTGTACCTATGCAGGAGGAGCTGTTACTTGGAGCTCAAAGAAACAGTCCACTGTAGCCTTATCTACTATAGAAGCAGAATATATGACCCTTGCACATATAACCCAGAAAGTAATTTGGCTATGAGCACTCTTAACCAAATTAGGATTGCCACCTTATGAAGTGATGACTATTTTTATTGACAATCAATCAGCAATCAAATTTGCTGAGAACCCTATATTCTATGCATGATTGAAGCATATAGACATATAGCACCACTTCATTTGTGAGCATATGGCTTCAAACAAAGTCAAAGTTCAGCACTGCATATCAGAGGAGAATTTAGCAGATATATTCATTAAAAGCCTACTAAGACCATTACATGAGTATCTATCTGCAGGTATTCTAGGAACTTGGAATTGAGAGGGAGTGTTGGGATAGCAATTCTGAGTGAGTACAAGAATGTACTTGAAGATACAATGCCAGTCAGTGGCAGCTGACTTAGATCATGATCCAGACTTATTTAGTATTTCATAGAAAGATCTCAAAGTAGTACAGAATGTATTTAAGTAGAATGTCTCTCTCTCTCAAGACCAATTCTAATCCTCTGTACATTACTCTGCTCTCTACTTACAACACAGTGAATTGGTGACACCTATCAAGCCTTGACAATGGAGTACTTTCTATATCATTCAAAGAGAAGTTCTCTAGCAGGCAATCCAGAATTCCCATCATTCTCAACACAATCAACATGCACCAATGCACCCTTGAAATGATCAGAAAGAGTGTAGGTGAAATGTCCTTCCACATACTTGTAAGCATCAAGGCAAGTGCTGAGAGTCAGGATTGGCAGAGGGTGGCAAATGAGTAGCTCTTTGTTGGCCAGGAGCTTTTGCCAGCAAAAGAGATATGCCAGATCTAGATGCACTTTTGTGTACTCCAGGACATCAGAAATTTTGGCAAGCTCTTCTGAAGTCATGGAAGTGGGAAGGCTGACTGATGGTTCAAAAATGTCCTCCCATATTGGCACGAAGAGGCCTATAGGCTCGACGCCATACCAAGGCACTGGCGGCAGGTTTACATATGTTTGACCTTGATACGCGGTGAGATCTTGAGGCCATGCCGTTTGTGAAGCCGTCATCTTTTGCTGCATTGAAGCCCTCGTTTCAAAGCGTGGTCTGGCATATAAGATTGTAGTACATTTGTACTTGGTTGTACTTGGATGCCGGTGCTAGATATTGTTTCAGTTTATTCAGAGTCGCAAGTACTGTAGAAGGGAAGTTGGGAAGGCGGCATATTGGCTGCCGGCACAATGCTTTTACCGCATTAGTAGAACGATCCAGACGGCAATTTTCGTCAGAAAGATGCCGGCATTTGCGACTAACGTGAACATTCACGGTGTCTGTTGATACTAATATCACCGAACACTGGATGGTCGCTTACGACACCGCCTTTTCTGCTCCACTCAACACCGATGCCTTCCGTCCATCCTGCAGAGGATGGAGATGGCGAAAACCCAGGGATTCCGCCCATGAATGCCCAAGGGATACCAGATGAATCTGATGACTCTGAGCACGTTGTCCAGCCTGGAACGACGGCTAATCCCCCTCAGCGACAGAAGAAGGCAGCTCGCAGTGTATTTGGGGTGCAGCAACGTGAATTCAAGGTCGGAGGTGCGTTACCATGTTCTTTTTACTTGCCGCACATCTCACTGAAAGTGAAGGGAATGACCCGTCCGACTATGAACAAAAATTTCCGGAAGATAAACAGCACGAGGAACTGGGTCCGCTTGCTAGAGTATGGCGTACATACCTTGAAGAGTGTGATGCATTTGACAAGGAGATGTTGGATGAATGGAGGGATGGACTAGATGTTTTCCTGGTTTTCGTGAGTGCGAATACTGCAATTCGAATTTTCCTTTGTTGACGACTGAATGAAAGGCTGGTCTCTTCGCTGCCGTGGTCACTACGTTCGTTGCTCAGACATCGCAGAGCCTTCAAGTCGACTACGGTCAAGTCACGGCGACACTTGTGTACGAGCTCATCGACGTCCAGCGTGCGGCGGCCAATGGCTCCTCCGTGAACGACGTTCCCCGTTCAGACCTTACTCCGTTTTCGACATTTAGTCCCGCGACATCTGATGTGTTAGTCAACGGACTGTGGTTTACCAGTCTCTCATTCAGTTTGACAACCGCACTATTTGCTGTCCTGACAAAACAATGGATTCACCAGTATGTCACCGTTCCGTCGGGGACACCACGGGACAAGTGCCGTGTACGTCAATTCCGGTACATGGGGCTCCAGCAGTGGAGTGTGGGTCTCATCATTGGGTTGTTACCTGTTCTGTTGAGCGCGTCAGTTGGAATGTTTTTTCTAGGTCTGGTTATTTTTTTAGTCCCACTGAAAGTGTCAATTGCATATGTTGTCGGGATCATCGCCTCTGTGTCCTTCGCTGCGTATTTCATCACGAATTTCCTTCCGATTTGGTACGCTTCATGCCCGTACAAGACGCCATTGTCGCATTATGTGTTCCTTCTCTATGCCTATCTCGCTCATCTCATATCCCCGGTCTCTTGCTCGGCACCATTGTCGAGGCCTCGGGCCATCCACTCACTGCGAGACGTTGAGCTTGTAGCTGTGAAGTCCTGTGCGGATGACATCGATGTATATGCATTGGCCTGGTTGTTCGGCATGTCGTCCAACCCTAGTGTACAGAACATTGTTGTACAATCAACCAGTGCTTTACCGCTGAGGTCAGTGGAATCTCTAAAACAACATGTGAAGGGATTTTTGGACATATACAATACCCTCATTGAACGCATGCCAGATCATCCTCAAGAAAGTGTGCTCGATCGCCTTGTTCGCACAAGTCTCCGCTTCGACGTCCATGCATACTACTTGTGGTCCATAAACCGAAAAACGGAAAATGATGAATTCTCCCCAGGGGTCTATGCGGAGCTTTTGTGTATCCGGAGCCAGTATGGTACTTCAAGTTCGAAAGAGGTCGCGGCACTGGTGAAAACTCAATTGACTTTTTCCGGACATGAACATCTGCATCTGCAGCCGATTGTATGGGTCTATTTGCTCCAGAGATTGCCACCCTTTGATGTACATGATGGTCTCCTTCAAATGTTCTTCCATGCAATTCCCTCAACCTACTGGCATGCGAACTATGTCCCGCCTCCTCTTTTCCTGGCAAGGGACGGACTGAAGATTTGTTTGACTGGCGACTCCAGAGATCATGACGTGGTTGATCTTCCAACAGCTGTTGAAACGTATCTGTATCCCTACGTTGCCGATGTCATATTGCGCCGTTTCAGGGGTGTGGAAGACAGTGTTTTCGATTCTGATCCCGCCGACGAATTTCCCACACCTCAGGATTCTCGACTATGCACACTTTTGACGATAGCTGGCTCTCCTTCTATGGAAATGGCAGCTGTCAACAATTCTCACATTGATACTTTTCTTGGAACGGTTATTAAAGAAATTGGAGTGTATATGGGTGTTGGTTCATCCCAGTTATATGATGATCCAGGGTACAACAAGATGCCTTCTTTCAGACTAGATTGCAATCGCTATGCAGTTCTGAAGCTGCTGTATACATTGGTGTCATCTGAGGACTTCAGTGGCAGCACCTTGATGACAAGTGGAGATCAGAGAATCTTGTTGGTGATTTTTCTTCGTGTACTCAAACCGACGTTTCCTCGACCTCGATTTCTTCCCGACTCAGAGGACTGGTGCACCCCATACATGGCTTCCAACTTTGCCCGAATCGCTTTCCAGGATAATCCATGGATAGTTCAATATGAACCCAAATACCTCTCTCACTTTAAACTGGCAGCAGAACTCGCTACTTTTTTCTTCCAGTTCCCCCCCATCATGGAGGAGGTCTTTTCTCATGTCGTTTCACAGCGTCTTCTTGACCAGATATTATATAACACTAATCTGGCATTAGCTGATCCGGCATTCTTACCTGATCTGCCGATAATCCTTCATGCCTTTATCAACGGGCTGGCATCAAACTCTGTGATCTCCCAAATGTCCACTGACTACCTCTTTGAATCCGACATCCTCTTCAGGGCTTGTACAGTACTTGTTTCATGGGACAAAGCTGACAGCCTCCGTCGTCTCACCCTTCTTCGTCCAGCAAATGATCCCGCTTGGCCTGAGTGCCTGCAGAAGCTCGACACCGTTTCTGAGCAGTGGCCGAGTTTCATGGAGAATCACGCTTGTACTATTGCAGGCTTCAGGGGATTCATTGAAGGAGGTTGTGTGGGAGACTTTGGACTGGGTGGGTGTCCACCGGGACAAGCTCCGGATAAAGAGAAGTTGAAGTTGCCACAAAAGCATTGGCATCGGCTGCGGCGGCCTCGCAGTAGTGGGGTGACAGTGGAGGGAACGATGCACAATGGTAGTAAGTGTGAATAGATTGTATTCCTAGATAATGTATGTATTGATGTCTCATGCATTCCCGAGTATCTGTATTACATAGTGTTTATTTATGAAAACATGTCGTGGTTGAATCCACCTCAAACTTTGTGAACAACTGATTAACAATTGACTATTGACTACCCGAATATGATGTTAGATCAAGTCTTGGTTGAGCATTTGATAGTAGAAATTGGTGCGGAAATAAATCTACTGACCTTTGTCTGCTACTCGACGTGTCGTTACACGTGTAAGGCTGCAGATCAGCCATCTTGCGGGTACATGTCAGAGAATTTGGACAACAACGTCAAACAATCATTTGACCATCATCAACCCAAGGCCTATCGTTGCCTCTCTCTATCAGATATGTGTAGTGTTTATATTTCGTCCTGAATAACTACGGATTAATAAGCGTTCAACTTCAGCCATGGATAGCCTTCCCCAAGAACTCACGGACGCCATAGTGCGCATCCTTAGCAACGACCGTCGCAGTCTTTGCGCAATTTTATCTGTACCGCGCTCCCTACGTTCTCAAGCGAGAGTCCTTTTTTTCCGTATTGTCTACCTTAAGAAAGAACGGCTTTCTTTAACCTGTGTGCGATGTAACCGGATATTCCACATCTGGTGAAGGATCTATTCGTGGCCCTACCCTTCACTATGGAACACAGATACAGTCTTGATCGACTCCTAGAGTGTTATCCTCTTTCCAATGTCCGAAGACTCACCATAGAACATCGGATTCGGTGCTCCAGCATCAAAAACGACGTTCCCAGCGCCTTGTTATCGTATCCTCTGACCTCACTGACGCTCAACATTCAATTGCACCGGTATGAGGATCTGTATGAGCTTCTGATGTGTTATCCAACTCTCAAACATCTTGACACTTCTTTCGCCGATGTTTTGGATATGAATCGTATGACGGGAATGGACTCAGAGAGGATCAAGGTCAACCAGGGCGCGATCCTCTCAATCCAAGACTTGTCCACCTCGAGTTCCATCCTCCACCTCTGTTCGTCCATACAGCTATTTGTGGTGGTAGAATGGTACCCAAGGAAACCTGACGCAGATTTGTTGGAAATAACGCGGCGGTTCATCTGCAATGCGCTCCCTCGTTTACATTTGACGAATAGGTTGGAGGTCCATTGCAAGGTGTTACAACATTCATTCGATGAAATGATGTACTTGACGGGCTAGATATAAAGGTTGTCTTTCTTTAGCTTTTCCGAATTTTATTCTTCCCGTTTCATATATATTTTGCATCCCTTTCCCTGTGCCAGGAGCTCATCTGAAAGTTTAAACAAATCTATCGGTCTTATTACTGCGCCATCGTCGAATTTGAACCCATGTAGGTTGATCCTGGGCAGACTGAGCTCACCAGCCTTCTTCACATACTGCGGCCCGAACAGCACCTTTACCTCACCCTTGAAAGCACCGATCAGTGATCTCTCGGGCGTGAACTATGTAATGATGTTTCCTAGCACATGCAGCGAATATTAGTCATGTCGAACGTGAAGCGGATAAGGCTCTCCAGATAACTCGTGAAGACTGATAGACTAACTGACATACAGACCGTAAAACTTTCCATCCTAAAGACATTAGCATAGCCTTTCTACGGTGACTAGGTGATATTCGTTGATAGTGCTAATACGTGGTGGTGTTCATCCGTGATATATGAACGTAAACACTTTCAGAACGTCCGATGATGAAATAGTCTGTGGGTGTCTAGGTCGATTTTGTGAGCTTTTCAACAGGACGCTTTCGGTATATCATATGACGGAATAGCATGCGCTTTGTCTTTCCCATCTCAATATACTCTTCCAGAATGCGGTATTTTTGTTGGAGTACGAGGGGTATATATGAATCCTTCAACCGATTGTCAGATGAAAAGTCCAAGTATTGTATATCAAATACGCACCTGAAGACAGTACGCTGCCAGTTCTCGTCGAGTAGAGGAGTCAGCATCTGGGCCAGCTTGTAGCTTCGGTATATCGCTGTATGCAACATCCCCTTTCAGCGTCTCGGGCTCATCGCACAGCAACTTTGCGGCGACGTTTCCGAGCCCGTAACTCCGGAGACGGAACTTGTCATGGTTGCAAGCAAAGTGGCGGAACATATCAAGCACCACTCTGCCTGGAATGGCAACCGTTCGGCCCATCCAGTCTTTATATTTTAAGCTATACCATGTTTGTGGTTCCGAGGAGGTTGGAGGGCCTAAAGAAATGCATTAGAAGAAGAGCCGATGTCAGAGATGATAACAGTACCGGCTTTCAACCGTCCCAGTCTCAGGTCAAAACCCAGTTGACGGCTCCGAGTGATCAGGTAATCTAGGTCGAAATTTAAGATATTCCAACCGGTCATGACATCCGGATCTATATCATGGATGAATTCCTGCCAGGCAACTAGCATCTCTCTCTCTGAGGTATACGATTGAACATAAGCTCCCTCGATAGGATCGCACGAGCCAACAGTAAAAATGACACGCAAGAACGGGTCTTTGGTCCCTTTCGAAGTCCCATCAATTGAGACTAAGCAAATCGGGAGAAAAAGGTAAACTTGCCTGGGTGCGAAACTATATTGGATATCTGTATGACGGGATCCTGTAAAGACTCGGAGATGAATTTCCCTGGTTTCTTGGGATCTTCTCGTGTCATGGATTCGATATCAAAGTACAGAATCCTAAGCGGAGCATCCGGGATTCTCGAATCGGACGCGTTTAACGCGTTATGACTGTTGAAAATGATGAGAGATTGAAGTTCCGACACATGCTCGACCAACGCACGGGATGGTCAGCTCGATCTGGCATCTTGAGACTTGATCGCTTGTTCCCGTGAGCGCATAAGTCTCAGCAGGACATTCAATCCAGCCTCCCATGCCGGGTAACTGTGCGGATGCAATACTGGAGATGGTAATTGGTGCAGCATATGCCATAGCAGACTAACCTGATGGTCAGCCAAAAAGCGTGTCACAGCGTCTGTCTGTGGATTGACAAATGTGTACAGGCCGGCATCCTCAAGTAGCTGTGATCATCCGGTATCAGTCAAGATGCATCCGCTGAACATCAAAGAACTTATTTTTGCTGCCAAGAAGCGCGTTTGTGCCAGAAAATGTTAGTTTCAATAGTCTGTCAGTACCTTGCATATTCTGTTCATCGAGAACAACGCTAATATCAATGTCGCTACCACTAAGACCGAGTTCCTGGTTACCGATTATCAGATCGCATCGATTGGTGAGCCATGAAGAGCGAATCCATACACGAAGATGCGCCTTTAATGCTTCCACGTCCCAATAATCACCTGAGATGGAGTTTGGATACGCGTAGATGTATGGTTTAAAACCAGTGATAGTTGCCAAAACGCTGTTTCCGGACTTGTTATCGCTTAGTCAATATCTTGCACGAGACGCCACTCGTACATACCGTCATAACACCGTACACCAAAAGGTCGCCACATTCATGTGACGACTCCTGGACATCGACAAGCTGGAAGACTGCAAAGTAATCCATCAATATCATCGTGGCAGGGAAGAGGTATATACCTATGTTATCGCGTAGAGAATCGGGCCTAGAACATGTAGTGCGTTGTTGCACATCTCGCAGTTTTTTTTGCTCTAAGGATCGAGTTGGGCCATTATCCGTTAACAGGCTCCTCTGTGTATCCCTTTGGTTGAAGTTTGCAGCTGTAGTTAGATTTCCTCGAAAAACATTGACCTGTCCTTCCACTTCACTACGAGTGGCACCCCCGGAAAACGTGGATAATAATCTGCCAGCACAAGTAGCGATGGGCCTCTGGAAGATAGCCTGGGATCTGGAGCTACAGGGCAAGAATAAGCGCGATACCTAGCAGCAATATAATATAGGTGACGGACACGCAACGCGTGGTTGTCCTGGTGAACAGCAGGCCTGAAAAGCGCCGGTGCATTGCGAGTCCCACTACCAGAGATACGTATTTAATGGTCAATACGAGATTTTAGTCGTTCCGCAGATGATCGATGATCGATGATTTATCGTTGCGTAGGGAATGTTGAGTGGTTAGGCTGAAGAGAACAAAAAGTACAAACATAGCAAAACTCGGAAAAAAAACAATCACCTGACAGCTAACGACACGAAAGTCAACCAGAAGAATATACATTTCATTGATAACTAGAACACAGATCAGATAACAAACTAAGACATGCAGCACCTAGAAATCAGATATAACAGCTTCAGATACCCATGCACTGGCAAGTCTAATACCCAACTCCTGCAGTGAATGAGATGGACAGTTGTTGAAATTGAGTTTTCATTCAGTGAAGAAAATGTGTTTACCAATACATTGATACAGATGATAATACATCACAATGAATACTACATAGTCATGTAAATATTTTATAGATAATAGTACATAAAAACAGTTCCTGCTATCAGTTGATGATGACCACTTGGATAGGCTGAGCTCTAGTGAGCTCAACACCCAAGTACTCAAGCCAAGGTGTTGAAGCTAACAGATTCACAAAATGAACTTTTTTCTGCTTCCTCTTCTGCAAATAATCATTGCTCCATTGTCATGTCTACTACTCATTGTCTGATGACAGTACTCTCTATGCTGTGTGTGTGTTAGGATAGCAATTCCAAGTGAGTATGAGAATGTACTCAAAGACACTATGTCAAACAGCAGCTGACTTAGACCATGATCAGGACTTATATAGTATTTCATAGAAAGCTCTTAAAGTAGTACAAAATGTATTTAAGTATGATGTCTCTCTCTTGAGAGGCTAATCTAATCCTCTATACTGTACTCTCCTCTGTACTTTCAACAGTGTGGATGCACTACTATCTGCCTAGAACACCATTGCTATAGTGAGTGTTATGTGAGTTGCTGTTGTCCTGGCTGAAGCCATGTGTTAAGCCCAAGTGACACATGACCTAAAACACATGATAAGCAGGCACTGTATCATATTTGTATAGTCATGCCTGAGTTCACTATATGTGTCTATACAGTATTGTGTTTTAAGGCCTTGCAGTTGGCTCAAGGTAGAATGGTGAAATATAAACTTTAGCTCAAAGCTGGAGATATACAGTGAGAGCTAGCCTACTTATATACTAGTCATCCATCAAGATATAAATATTACTACTAATTGTATCTGTCCAGGTCATTATGCTCCTTGTCCTTGAGCATTGCTACTGTCCACAAAAGAGTTGTTGTATGTCATCAAGAGGCATTATTGCATTGGAGAACAATAACAGACTTGGCTTGTTGTGATAACTAAGCCTGTCCCACAGTCCTAAGTGCTGGCTTTAAGCACTCTGACTAAGCATAAATAGGAGTTAAAATAAAGAAAAAGTAGAAAAATTATAACATTACCTCCTCTTTAAGATCATTGTTCTAATGGCTTAATTTAAAGATAATTTGTAGTTGTATATGGTGTTGTCAGCATGCATTCATTTTTTATTTATCTATTAGTTAGATTCTGGATCATAGCCCTTTCAGCTAACCAAATAATTGATTGTTGTTATTGTTCCTCCTTTATGTGCTTGGATTTTGTGAAGTCAATGATTAAGGACCTGATAAATTGTTAGACTCAAGCCACATGTGATTGACAAGCATGTGATAAACTAATGTGGCTTCACATTTGAGCCTTCCATTAGAGTTCACTGTATGTACTTGCATTGACTCCCTGTGCTTCAAGGCTTTGTGTGACTAGCTCAAGAGTAGAATGAGATGAAATAAACTTTAGCTCAAAGCTGGAGTTTACCAGTGAGAGCAGGCTTCTTAAATACTGTTACAAGGTCTGCTAATAATACTATGTACTTATTGTGTGTTTCTCTGTCCTTGGTGCTCATTGTCCTTGAGCATCACTACCATACATAAAAGGCTGATTGTGCATCATTGGGCAATGCTGTTGCATTAAAAGACAATGACAAACTTGGCTAGTTGTGATGACTAAGCCTTGTCCCACAGTCCTAAGCACTCATTCTAGTGCCCTGACTAAGCATAAATAGGAGTTAATTCTAGAAAAGAAATAGAAAATCATAACATTATCTCCTCTTAAGACCATCATCCTGATGGCTTAATTTAGAGATAATTCGTAGTCCCAGATTGTGTCATCAGCATTCATGAGCTTTTTATTTACCCACTGGTTGGATTCTGGTTCATATCCCTTCCAGCTAACCAGGTAGTTGACTGTAGTTGTCATTCCACTCCTCTTTGCTTTGATTTTTTGTAATTTGTGGTTTAAGATCTGATCGACTTCATAGTGTTTTTTATTGTTGATAAGATCTGAGGGTGGCAGCAGAGGTCATTCCTGGTTAGGAAATGCTGGTGCAATATAGAGTGTCAATAATGTCTCATTGAAGACATCATGAATTTTCCAAGTGGGTGGTAGTCACAATTTATAAGCACTAGCCCCTACTTTTAAGGTTATTGGAAAGGGGCTCATGTGTTTATCTGCCAATTTGTGTTTTAGGCATAGTAGATGAAGATTGGTGGTGTCCAACTAAACCTTATCATTAATAGAATATTTGTGGGCTTGTCAATGATGTTTATTGTATTAGGTTTTCATGGTTGCAGTAGCTCTTTTGAGGGCTGTCTTGGTCTCTGTGTGGATCTTTGCCATTGGAGTGGCAAAGTCCATGGAGACAAGAGTGGTTGTTCAATATCATTCTGTTTGGGTGACATTTGGATGTCACTCATGATTGACAAAAAATAGTGTCTTCTCTGTTGCCAAGTAGACCCAGTTGTTGTGTTGGAAGGCAGCAAGAGCAAGCCATTCTACCCAATCATCTTGTCGGTAGTTAATAAACAGGCAGAGATACTTTTTGACCTCTTAGTTTGCATACTCCATCTGTTCATTGATTTGTGGGTGATAGGCAGTTGATGTATTGTGCTTGATGTGCAGGAGGTAGTAGAGGTCATCCAAAAACTTTGAGACAAACTGAGGGCCTCTGTCTGAGATGACTATCTTCAGCATGCCATCCTTGGTATAGACCTTGTCCTGTAGGATTTTTGCCCATCCTTCAGAGGTTAGTTCAGTGAAACAGGCTATCAGGATGATTGCTTTTGAGAATCAATTGACTATGATGATGATTGTGTCATAGCTGTTGCAGTCTGAGAGGCTAGTGATCATGTCAATGAAGATGTGAGTCTATGGTGTTGATGGGATCTCATTCAGATGCAGTGGGGCTGCTTGTGCCTGCATTGATGATTTTCTCTGTTGACAGACTTCACATGCTTTGATGTATGTGATGATGTCATTATCTATTTTGGGCCACCAGTATTCTCATAATACTAACTTCTTGGTTTTAGCAATGCTGGGATGGCTGGCAGTGGCATGATCATTGCAAGTGGCAATGATTTTGCCATACAGTCATTGATCTCAGGGAATATAGATATGTCTATCATAACAGATCAATCCCCCTTCTTTCATCATCTCCTGTTCATAATTAAGAGAGGGAGCCACTCATTGGTCCCATTTGTGGCTGTTGCAAGTCACACTCTTAATGCACTTGTAAATTTCTTTCTCTGTTGGCATTATTATAGCTCTGAAGTGTTTGGACTGCAGCAATGTGACTCCTTCATTATTGGCTCCTCTCTGATCATGGTCTGCCTGTCAGCTGAGAAGATCAGCCTTTTTGTTCACCATTCCTGCCTTGTGATGCAGGATGTACTGGTATTGGCTGAGTTTAGTAATCTATCTGGCTTGTTGATGATTAAGCTTCTGAGATTGTCAGAAGTATTGGAGATTTTGATGATCTGTCCAGATCTCAAAAACCTTTATGGCTTCAATCAGATAATGTTACTATTCTTTAAGGGCAATCATGATGGCAAGGAGTTCCTTGTCATAGATCTCATAGTTTTGTTTGGTGATTGTGAGAGCCTTAGATAAGAATGCAATAGGACACTATTTTTTATCCTGTTCTTGTGAGAGCACCACTCTAACTGCTCCTTTGCTAGAATTGGCTTCAACTCAGAATCTCCCTTTTTGAGCGGGGATGGTGAGCATGATATCCTTAGTGAGTCATCATTTTAGGTCATTGAAGGCTGTCTGTTGGGAGAGCCTCCAAGTCCAGAGAGCATTGCTAGTTAATTGTGTCATTAGCCAGACAATTTTGCTATAGTCTTGAATGAAGCATTGGTAAAAATTTATGAACTCCAAGAATGATTATAACTCCTTTTTCTTGGTTGGTTCCAGCCACTCTGTCACTCTCACTACTTTGATGAGATCTATGCAGATGCTTTTCTTGCTAATAATGACCCTGAGGTACTCAGTCTTGAGTATCTTGAATTTGCACTTCTCTGCTTTGAGAAACAGCCTGTGTTTTCTCATTAAGATTAGTACTTGCCATACTAGCTTTTAGTGCTCCTCCTTTGTTTTCTACATGATCAGAATATCATTGAGATAAATAGTGACTCTTCCAGTGGCGATGAAATCTTTGAATATGTCATTCATCATCCACTGGAATGTTGCTGGAGAATTGGTGAGCTCAAAGAACATGACTGTTGGCTCAAACAATCTCTGATTTGTTCTAAACACAGCCTTTTATTTATCTCTCTCTTTAATGCAAACATTGTTATATCTCCATCAGACATTGAGTTTGGTATAGTATCTGATGCCTCAGAGCTTGTTTATCAGTTTTGAGATTAACAGAAGGGGGTAACAATTTTTGAATATCATTTTGTTAAGTTTTCAATAATCTTGAACAGGCTGGAGTTTGCTGTCCTTCTTTTTGATGAAGAAGAATGGTGATGCCATCAGAGATTTTGATAGTCAAATTTGTCTGCTGGATAGATTTTCATCCAAGAACTTATTAAGTTTTTGTTGTTTGTTGATGCTGAGAGGATAGGTTTTGCAATCCAAATTGGCATTGGCATTTAGGATTAGCTCAATCACATGATCCTATAGTTTCAGCCCTGATAGCTCATTAAAACTTTCTTTTTTAAACAGATCCTTAAAGTCACAAGCCTATTTGGGCACTATTTCTTTAAAGATTTTTTTCTCTTTCTATTTGTTAGCTTTGGTGGCTAGGTTATTGGCATGGTGAACAGCATGAATATATAGCTCAT